TCAGGGAGTCCTCAACCTCAACAGAATGGGGTGGCCTGAAGTTGGGTGTGACCTCGTCCAGCGGACCAGAAGCAACTGGCTTCAGAAAGTAAACATGAAACAAACTACAAACTCTGTACTGACAGGACAATTCAAACTGATATATACTCTCATTGATACGTTTACTGATTTTGAAAGGACCAATGTATTTGGTCAAGTTTCTTACTACTATATAGCGATACTACTATAACCACAAATAAATCTGCAATAAAATTTTATGAAGCCAAGAAAACACTGCAAACCTTTGACAGAAGTACAGTGGTGCTTGAAAGTTTGTGAAAATTTCTGCATAATTTGACCTAAAAATTTGACAGATTTTCACACATGTCCAAAAAGTAGAGAAAGAGAACCAAATTAAACAAAACAAAATTATATTAGACTTGGACATTTGTTTATAAAAGAAAATGTTACTTATCTGTAAGTGGCAAAAGTATGTGAACCTTTAGGATTAGCAGACAATTTGAAGTTGAAATTAGAGTCAGGTGTTTTCAATCAATGTGTTGGCCATCAGGTGTGAGTGACCACCCTGTTTTATTTGAAGAAGAGGGATCTATTACAGTCTGATCTTCACATGCTTGTGGAAGTGTATCATGGCACAAACAAAGGAGATTTCTAACGACCTCAGAAGAGGAGTTGTTGATGCTCATCAGGCTGGAAAAGGTTACAAAACCTAAAGCTAAATCTCTAAAGAGTTTGGACTCCACCATCCACAGTCAGACAGATTGTGTACAAATGGAGAAAATTCCATTGTTACGCCCCCCCAGGACTGGTTGACCAACAAAGACCACACCAAGAGCAAGGCGTGTAACAGTCTGCGAGGTCGCAAAGGAATCCAGGGTAACATCTAAGCAACTAAAGGTCTGTCTCACAGTGGTTAATGTTAATGTACATGGGTCCACTATCAGAGGAACACTGAACAATATTGGTGTCTGCAGTTTGCTGAGGATCACATGGACAAGCCAGAAGGCTACTGAAACAATGTTTTGTGGACAGATTAGACAAAAATAGATCTTTTTGGTTTAAATCAGAAGCATTACATTTGGAGAAAGGAAAACATTACATTTCAGCATAAAAACCTTATCCCATCTGTGAAACATGGTCATGGTAGTTTCATGGTTTAGGCGTGTTTTGCTGCATCTGGGCCAGGATGGCTTGCCAACATTGATGGAACAATGAACTCTGAATTAAACCAGCAAATTACAAAGGAAAATGTTCATCTGTTCATGAACAGTTAAAGAACAGTTAAAGAAGAATAAAGATAATGTTTAGGAATGGGCAAGTCAAAGTCCTGACCTTAATCATGGGAGGAAACCCATTAACATAACAGAGTTGAAGCTGTTTTGTATGGAGGACTGGGCAAAAAATCCAACATAGCTGATGTGCAGGACTAATCAAAAGTTATAAATGTACTGAAGGTACAGGCCAATTCAAAACAGTTGGTTAAATTCATGGTTGGTTACTTACTGCCGACACAAGCTGCTTGAATCTCAATGACTGAGACAAACAGACAGGTATATATATATATATGAGAAAACAGGTGAAGACAGTCAGTATTCTGGTGACTGAGATCTGCTGGCAGATGATTGGACTGAGTCACATGGCCGACTGGGAAATCATGGGAGTTGGAGTCCATAAGGTATTTAGAGTTTGACTGAGAGCCGGATATTGTATTATATTAAAGTATATTTAATTTTATACAACAGTTAGTTCCGGCCATGCAAGCTGATTGGTTAAGAGGCGTTCTAACTGTACTGTTATTTCGCCATAACATCATGTTTTTTTCACAAACACTGTATCACTCCGCTGAGATGCTGTTGCTAAGCAACAACTCTGACAGCTGTAGGAGACGCTCAAGACATTTTTTTTACTTCTTACTTTGCCACAAACAGAAAACGGACACTTTTAAGATCACATTTGACCGACAGCCGATTTGGTCAGACTCTGAAGATGAGACGACACTAAATTCCCAAACTGTCATCACCACTGAGCAGCTTTTCAGTCGGCAGCTGTGACAGAAGAACAGCTAAACAACCTGGAATCAGCCAGAAATGAACCCTTGTTAAGGAATATATATACTATAATTTGGTGAAGGAACTGCGAACATTAAAACATATTAAACGCCGCGTTCACGGCCCAGTTTATTAATTTATTACTTTATTTATTTAACTGTTGTATTAAAGCAATAGAACACTCGAGGAGTGTGTTATCGCCAATAACATCACGGCTGTGATGATCTACGGCGGCCATGTTCTCTCATATTCTATTGCTTAGATATTACATTATTTAACATTAAGTTAGATTATAATTGGTATTACCTCTCTCTTATAACTCTTTAGGCATATTATTATTATTATTATTATTATTATTATTATTATTTAATTATTATTATCTGAATTTTTTTATCTTAATCTATGTACTATGTCTACATACTTTACTACATTCCTATGGAAATTAATCTGTTATCACTGCTTTGCTGTGGTAAATGGAATTCAGAGGAGCAGAGCCTTTGACATTTGTTATAATTACAGGGCAGGTGTTCAGTTGAGGGTTTAGGCTGAACCAGTTTGATGTAAAATATGAGAACTACGTAGCATCACACACTTAAGACTTGTTTAGCCACGGTCTAGAAAATATTTACAAAGTATACAAAATTACACACACCCCCTTCTGTAATTAATAAATATGTATGTTAATCACACCATGTATTGAAGGGATGTTTGTGAGTTCACATCTTGAGGGCTAAGAGTTTAATTTCCTGAAAGCGAGGAGGAACTGTGTGACTATTTATGACTGTCTACATGTATATTAGTACATAGTCATTAATACAGTAATACAGTTCCTCATTGCTTTCAGGAAATTAATACATGTAAATATATTGCAATCCATGCGGAACTATATTCAAAACACTAATGCAAACACAATGTTTTTCAGAACATATTGCCAACTAAAATATATGAAAATATCCCATTGATCCTATTGATTCCATTTTTTATATTCTAATCTTCAAAACATTTATCAGTAACTGAGGGTGGCTTAGCAGGAATTAGTGGTCATGGTGTAGTGAATCCATAGCTCCAAGTTAAACTAAAAGAACAAGAGTGAATGAATTGACAATAATCTGTCCAGTGATAAAGGTAATATGTTGTTTTAAATTACACTGTAAAAAAAGTAAAGTTATTGCCAGTAAGGTACTGTAGATACACAGTACTGCATTGTGCTTTCTTTTACAGTCCCTTAAAGTCTAGATATTAACCAGGCAATTGTGAGGAACAAGCTCCAAAGTACTAGATATTAATTTTGAGTAACATGATGATGGGTTACAAGACAGTGTAAATAAATTACACTGAAATGCCAAACAGATTCTAGATATTAACTGGATTAATGAGGTCTTCAGCCTCATTAAACACACCTGATTGAATTCAGTGAATTAGCATGGCCTTCCTGAGTGGAATCCAGAGCTTTGGCCCAGAGGGAACCCACTTTAACATGCCTGAACTACATTACATTGTCGATGGTTGTTGCATTGTCAATTGTTTTAAGCCCAGGTTTGGGATTGTTCTTTCCCAGATAGGGACTAAGTCTAGTTAATATTTATTTTCAATATAGAATCTCTATTCAGAATGCTGTGTAGTCTGGGCATAAACACTGCTAGGGAAACCAACCCAGAATGTAATACTTGAGACTCACTTGATGTGGCTAAAATTATTCAAAATGCAAAATTTAGATGACAATGAATGTGAGATTTCTTTTTTTGTATCTTTCTTTTTAAGATCTGGCTGTTAATTCAGTTTATTTTAAAGGCCTCCTTACATTCACATGTTCTCTTCTGTTTCCTCTAGGATTAGCTAAAAATGAGCTGGTGAGGGTACTGAAACCAAAATGAGAGGAAACATCATCAGCAGCAGAGCACTCATCCTTTCTGCTCTCTGGATAGGTGAGATACATCAGCCAACATTTTCACTCCATCAAACAGGGACAAATATGAAAACGGGAATCAAATGTGCACTAAAGTCATCCCGGGTGGTACAAATCAGCAGAGCAAGTGAAAGTCATTCAAGGATATTTGTCTTAGATGTAAAAATGAGAAAGTAGAAACACACTGAATTATCATGAATAGTAATAACATTTTTTCTGCCTAGGATGCTGGTCAGGAATCAGTGAAAACATTATATTTATATTAATTTTTTCAAAATGTTAAAAAAATGAATTACATTAGATTGTCAGCTAGGATCTACAAAATTGAAAGATTGATTCAAGATTCATCTGTCCCAGGTGGATGGGCATCTTTCTGTTTATTTGTGCTATAAAAACAAAATTAACTGGTATTCTGGTTTAGTTGTTTGCAGGTTTATTCATCATCCAGTACCTGTTAGTCATGCACAGATGCAGATTAGTAAACAGTTAATGGCCACTGTTCTTAAGGGGCTTTTCCAACTATTTTCTGCTGTAGAGGTCATGTTTCTGCTTTGTGAATTTATGCTTTGTTAAGTCCCTCCCCTCTTGGTTACCGTTGCTATGTCAGACAAGCTTTTCACGCTGGTATGCCATGTTGAAGGTTCAGATCTCTCAGCAAAGAAATAGAATAATAAAGAGAGGCCAGTTCCTACATATCACATCTGAAAAAGGCTTCATCAAATAAGATGACAAATCTGTCCACATAGATGACAGGAAAATAAACAAACTGCATATGATCTGTACCAGAGAGTATTCATAGCATTTAGACCAACTTGTTTAATGTAAATTTGAGCTATTTTTAAGCTTAAAAAAAATATTTATAACCACCTCAGGAACAGTGACATGCAACACAACTATCACCACTGCTAGTGTCAGCACTTCCACGTTTAACACCACAAATGGCAATGCCGACAACACTATCATCAGTGCTACTTCTGCAAGCCAGAACACCACTGTTAGCCCCATTGCCAGTGGAAACACCATCAACAACATTGCTACTGTCAGCAATGCCACTTTCTTACACCACTGGCAGCACTGCCAATGTTAACCCCACAATTGGCAATGTCAACAACACCACCAGCAAGGACACCACTGCAAGCAACAACACCGCTGTCACGCCCAGTGCCACTTTCAACGCCAGCATCACCATTGCTAGTGTCAGTGCAGCCAATTTAAACAACACAACTGGCAATATCGACAACACCAATTTTAGTGCCACCACTGCAAGCCTCAGCGACAGTGTCACTACCACTACCAAGTTCAACAACACTGTCACCTTTGCCAGTGGCAGCACTGTCAATAACACCACCATCAATACCATCAATGCCACCACTGCAAGCAACAACGTCCCTGTCACACCCAATGACAGTTTTAACACCACCATTGCCATTGTGAGTGTCAGCATTGCCACTGTTAACACCACAACTGGCAATGTTCATAACACCACTATCAGTGACATCACAGCAAGCCTCAATACCAACGTCACTCCCACTGCCAGTGTCAACACCAACATTGCCTCTGCTAGTGTCAGTACATCCATTGTCACTAGCACAAATGGTAATGTGAACAACACCAGTGTCAGTGCCACTTGGGGAAGCCAGAACACCACTGTCAGTCCTACTGTCAGTCTAAACACCACCACCAAAATTGCTAGTATCAGCACTGCCCCTATAAACATCACAACTGGCAATGACAGTACTACTTCTGCTGGGATCAATATGAATGACACCTTCACTACCAGTTTAAACACCCCCACCACCATGGCTAGAGTCAGCACAGCCACTTTTGACAACACAACTGGCAATGTCAACACCACTAACATTAGTGCCACTACTACAGGGCAGAACACCACTGTTAGTCCCAATGCCAGTGTAAACACCACCATCACCATTGCTAGTGTCAGCACAGCAAATTTAAACAACACAACTGGCAATGTGGACAATACCAATATCAGTTCCACCACTGCAAGCCTCAGCAACATTGTCACTCCCACTGCCAATATCAACACCAGTGTCACCTTTGCTAGTGGCAGCACTGATGCTCGTAACACCACAGCAGGCAATGTTAACAATACTAATATCAATGCCACTACTGCAACCAACAACACCCCTGTCACTCCCACTGCCAGTGTCAACACCACCATTGCCTCTGCTAGTGTCAGTACATCCATTGTCACTAGCACAAATGGTAATGTGAAAAACACCAGTGTCAGTGCCACTTCGGGAAGCCAGAACACCACTGTCAGCCCTACTGTCAGTCTAAACCCCACCACCAGCATTGCTAGTATCATCACTGCCCCTATAAACATCACAACTGGCATTATCAACAGCACCATAATCAGTGCTACTACTGCTAGGATCAATATAAATGACACATTCACTACCAGTTTAAACACCCCCACCACCATGGATAGTGTCAGCACAGCCACTTTTGAAAACACAACTGGCAATGTCAACACCACTAACATTGGTGCCACTACTACAGGGCAGAACACCACTGTTAGTCCCAATGCCAGTGTAAACACCAACATCACCATTGCTAGTGTCAGCACAGCCAATTTTAACAACACAACTGGCAATGTGGACAACACCAATACAAGTGCAACTACTGCAAGCCTCAGCACCAGTGTCACTCCCACTACCAAGTCCAACACCACTGTCACCTTTGCTAGTGGCAGCAGTGCAACTGTTGCCAGCCTAAACACCACCATCAACATTGCTAGTATCAGCACTGCCCCTATAAACATCACAACTGGCAATGTCAACAACCCCACAATCAGGGATACTACTGCTAGGATCAACACGAATGATACTTTCACTACCAGTCTAATGATCCTCACCACCATGGCTAGTGTCAGCACAGCCGCTTTTGAAAACACACCTGGCAATGTCAACACCACTAACGTCAGTGCCACTACTTCAAGCCAGTACACCACTGTTAGTCCCACTGCCAGTGTTGACACCAACACCAATATTGCTAGTGTTAGCACAGCCATTTTTTACAACACAACTGGCAATAACGACAACACCAATATCAGTTCCACCACTGCAAGCCTCAGCAACAGTGTCACACCCACTGCCAAGTTCAACACCACTGTCACCTTTGCTAGTGGCAGCACTGCCACTGTTAACGCCACAATTGGCAATGTCAGCAACACCACCATCAATGCCACCACTGCAAGCAACAACACCTCAGTCACACCCAATGCCAGTTTCAACACAACCATTACCATTGTGAGTGTCAGCACTGCTACTCGAAACACCACAACTGGCAATGTGGATAACACCACTATCAGTCCTACCACTGTAAGCATCAATACCAATGTCACTCCCTCTGTCAGTGTCAACACGACCATTGCCTCTGCTAATGTCAGTACATCCATTGTCACTAGCACAAATGGTAATGTGAACAACACCAGTGTCAGTGCCGCTTGGGGAAGCCAAAACACCACTGTCAGTCCTACTGTCAGTCTAAACCCCACCACCAGCATTGCTATTATCATCACTGCCCCTATAAACATCACAACTGGAAATATCAAGAGCACCATAATCAGTGCTACTACTGCTAGGATCAATATAAATGACACCTTCACTACCAGTTTAAACACCCCCACCACCATGGCTAGAGTCAGCACAGCCACTTTTGACAACACAACTGGCAATGTCAACACCACCAAAACCAATGCTGCTACTGCAAGCCAGTTCACCACTGTTAGTCCCATTGCCAGTGTAAACACCAACATCACCATTGCTAGTGTCAGCACAGCCAATTTTAACAACACAACTGGCAATGTGGACAATACCAATATCAGTTCCACCACTGCAAGCCTCAGCAACATTGTCACTCCCACTGCCAATATCAACACCAGTGTCACCTTTGCTAGTGGCAGCACTGATGCTCGTAACACCACAGCAGTCACTGTTAACAATACTAATATCAATGCCACTACTGCAACCAACAACACCCCTGTCACTCCCACTGCCAGTGTCAACATGACCATTGCCTCCACTAGTGTCAGTACAACCATTGTCATTAGCACAAATGGTAATGTGAACAACACCAGTTTTAGTGCCACTTCGGGAAGCCAGAACACCACTGTCAGTCCTACTGTCAGTCTAAATACCACAACCAACATTGCTATTATCAGCACTGCCCCTACAAACATCACAAATGGCAATGTCAGTACTACTTCTGCTAGGATCAATACGAATGACACTTTCACATCCAGTTTAAACACCCCAACTACCATGGCTAGTGTCAGCACAGCCACTTTTGAAAACACAACTGGCAATGTTAACACCACTAACGTCAGTGCCACTACTTCAAGCCAGTACACCACTGTTAGTCCCACTGCCAGTGTTGACCCCAACACCAATATTGCTAGTGTTAGCACAGCCATTTTTTACTACACAACTGGCAATAATGACAACACCAATGTCAGTGCCACCAGTGCAAGCCTCAGCAACAGTGTCACACCCACTGCCAAGTTTAACACCACTGTCACCTTTGCTAGTGGCAGCACTGCCACTGTTAATGCCACAACTGGCAATGTCAACAAAACCACCATCAATGCCACCACTGCAAGCAACAACACCTCAGTCACACCCACTGCCAGTTTCAACACAACCATTACCATTGTGAGTGTCAGCACTGCTACTCGAAACACCACAACTGGCAATGTGGATAACACCACTATAAGTCCTACCACAGTAAGCATCAATACCAGTGTCACTCCCTCTGCCAGGGTCAACACGACCATTGCCTCTGCTAATGTCAGTACATCCATTGTCACTACCACAAATGTTAATGTGAACAACACCAGTGTCAGTGCCACTTCGGGAAGCCAGAACACCACTGTCAGTCCTACTGTCAGTCTAAACCCCACCACCAGCATTGCTAGTACCATCACTGCCCCTATGAACATCACAACTGGCAATATCAACAGCACCATAATCAGTGCTACTACTGCTAGGATCAATATGAATGAAACCTTCACTACCAGTTTAAACACCCCCACCACCATGGCTAGTGTCAGCACAGCCACTTTTGAAAACACAACTGGCAATATCAACACCACTAACGTCAGTGCCACTACTTCAAGCCAGTACACCACTGTTAGTCCCATTGCCAGTGTAAACACCAACACCAATATTGCTAGTGTTAGCACAGCCATTTTTTACAACACAACTGGCAATAACGACAACACCAATATCAGTTCCACCACTGCAAGCCTCAGCAACAGTGTCACACCCACTGCCAAGTTCAACACCACTGTCACCTTTGCTAGTGGCAGCACTGCCACTGTTAACGCCACAACTGGCAATGTCAACAACACCACCATCAATGCCACTACTGCAAGCAACAACACCTCAGTCACACCTAATGCCAGTTTCAACACAACCATTACCATTGTGAGTGTCAGCACTGCAACTCGAAACACCACAACTGGCAATGTTGATAACACCACTATCAGTCCTACCACTGTAAGCATCAATACCAATGTCACTCCCTCTGTCAGTGTCAACAGCACCTTTGCCTCTGCTAATGTCAGTACATCCATTGTCACTAGCACAAATGGTAATGTGAACAACACCAGTTTTAGTGCCACTTGGGGAAGCCAGAACACCACTGTCAGTCCTACTGTCAGTCTAAACCCCACCACCAGCATTGCTAGTATCAGCACTGCCCCTATAAACATCACAACTGGAAATATCAACAGAACCATAATCAGTGCTACTACTGCTAGCATCAATATAAATGACACCTTCACTACCAGTTTAAACACCCCCACCACCATGGCTAGTGTCAGCACAGCCACTTTTGACAACACAACTGGCAATGTCAACACCACTAACATTGGTGCCACTACTACAGGGCAGAACACCACTGTTGGTCCCAATGCCAGTGTAAACACCACCATCACCATTGCAAGTGTCAGCACAGCCAATTTAAACAACACAACTGGCAATGTGGACAACACCAATACAAGTGCAACTACTGCAAACCTCAGCACCAGTGTCACTCCCACTACCAAGTCCAACACCACTGTCACCTTTGCTAGTGGCAGCAGTGCAACTGTTGCCAGCCTAAACACCACCATCAACATTGCTAGTATCAGCACTGCCCCTATAAACATCACAACTGGCAATGTCAACAACCCTACAATCAGGGATACTACTGCTAGGATCAACACGAATGATACTTTCACTACCAGTCTAATGGCCCTCACCACCGTGGCTAGTGTCAGCACAGCCGCTTTTGGAAACACAACTGGTGATGTCAACACCACCAAAACCAATGCAGCTACTGCAAGCCAGTTCACCACTGTTAGTCCCACTGCCAGTGTAAACACCAACATCACCATTGCTAGTGTCAGCACAGCTAATTTTAACAACACAACTGGCAATGTCAACAATACCAATATCAGTTCCACCACTGCAAGCCTCAGCAACATTGTCACTCCCGCTGCCAATATCAACACCAGTGTCACCTTTGCTAGTGGCAGCACTGAAGCTCGTAACACCACAGCAGGCAATGTTAATAATACTAATATCAATGCCACTACTGCAACCAACAACACCCCTGTCACTCCCACTGCCAGTGTCAACACCACCATTGCCTCTGCTAGTGTCAGTACATCCATTGTCACTAGCACAAATGGTAATATCAACAACACCAGTGTCAGTGCCACTTCGGGAAGTCAGAACACCACTGTCAGTCCTACTGTCAGTCGAAACCCCACCACCAGCATTGCTAGTATCATCACTGCCCCTAGAAACATCACAACTGGCAATATCGGCAGCACCATAATCAGTGCAACTACTGCTAGGATCAATACGAATGACACCTTCACTACCAGTTTAAACACCCCCACCACCATGGCTAGTGTCAGCACAGCCACTTTTGACAACACAACTGGCAATGTCAACACCACTAACATTGGTGCCACTACTACAGGGCAGAACACCACTGTCAGTCCCAATGCCAGTGGAAACACCACCATCACCATTGCAAGTGTCAGCACAGCCAATTTAAACAACACAACTGGCAATAACGACAACACCAATATCAGTTCCACCACTGCAAGCCTCAGCAACAGTGTCACACCCACTGCCAAGTTCAACACCACTGTCACCTTTGCTAGTGGCAGCACTGCCACTGTTAACGCCACAATTGGCAATGTCAGCAACACCACCATCAATGCCACCACTGCAAGCAACAACACCTCAGTCACACCTAATGCCAGTTTCAACACAACCATTACCATTGTGAGTGTCAGCACTGCAACTCGAAACACCACAACTGGCAATGTTGATAACACCACTATCAGTCCTACCACTGTAAGCATCAATACCAATGTCACTCCCTCTGTCAGTGTCAACACCACCTTTGCCTCTGCTAATGTCAGTACATCCATTGTCACTAGCACAAATGGTAATGTGAACAACACCAGTGTCAGTGCCACTTGGGGAAGCCAAAACACCACTGTCAGTCCTACTGTCAGTCTAAACCCCACCACCAGCATTGCTAGTATCAGCACTGCCCCTATAAACATCACAACTGGAAATATCAACAGAACCATAATCAGTGCTACTACTGCTAGCATCAATATAAATGACACCTTCACTACCAGTTTAAACACCCCCACCACCATGGCTAGTGTCAGCACAGCCACTTTTGACAACACAACTGGCAATGTCAACACCACCAAAACCAATGCTGCTACTGCAAGCCAGTTCACCACTGTTAGTCCCATTGCCAGTGTAAACACCAACATCACCATTGCTAGTGTCAGCACAGCCAATTTTAACAACACAACTGGCAATGTCGACAATACCAATATCAGTTCCACCACTGCAAGCCTCAGCAACATTGTCACTCCCGCTGCCAATATCAACACCAGTGTCACCTTTGCTAGTGGCAGCACTGAAGCTCGTAACACCACAGCAGGCAATGTTAATAATACTAATATCAATGCCACTACTGCAACCAACAACACCCCTGTCACTCCCACTGCCAGTGTCAACATGACCATTGCCTCCACTAGTGTCAGTACAACCATTGTCATTAGCACAAATGGTAATGTGAACAACACCAGTTTTAGTGCCACTTCGGGAAGCCAGAACACCACTGTCAGTCCTACTGTCAGTCTAAATACCACAACCAACATTGCTATTATCAGCACTGCCCCTACAAACATCACAAATGGCAATGTCAGTACTACTTCTGCTAGGATCAATACGAATGACACTTTCACATCCAGTTTAAACACCCCAACTACCATGGCTAGTGTCAGCACAGCCACTTTTGAAAACACAACTGGCAATGTTAACACCACTAACGTCAGTGCCACTACTTCAAGCCAGTACACCACTGTTAGTCCCACTGCCAGTGTTGACCCCAACACCAATATTGCTAGTGTTAGCACAGCCATTTTTTACTACACAACTGGCAATAATGACAACACCAATGTCAGTGCCACCAGTGCAAGCCTCAGCAACAGTGTCACACCCACTGCCAAGTTTAACACCACTGTCACCTTTGCTAGTGGCAGCACTGCCACTGTTAATGCCACAACTGGCAATGTCAACAAAACCACCATCAATGCCACCACTGCAAGCAACAACACCTCAGTCACACGTACTGCCAGTTTCAACACAACCATTACCATTGTGAGTGGCAGCACTGCTACTCGAAACACCACAACTGGCAATGTGGATAACACCACTATAAGTCCTACCACAGTAAGCATCAATACCAGTGTCACTCCCTCTGCCAGTGTCAACACGACCATTGCCTCTGCTAATGTCAGTACATCCATTGTCACTAGCACAAATGGTAATGTGAACAACACCAGTGTCAGTGCCACTTGGGGAAGCCAAAACACCACTGTCAGTCCTACTGTCAGTCTAAACCCCACCACCAGCATTGCTAGTACCATCACTGCCCCTATGAACATCACAACTGGCAATATCAACAGCACCATAATCAGTGCTACTACTGCTAGGATCAATACGAATGACACCTTCACTACCAGTTTAAACACCCCCACCACCATGGCTAGTGTCAGCACAGCCACTTTTGAAAACACAACTGGCAATGTTAACACCACTAACGTCAGTGCCACTACTTCAAGCCAGTACACCACTGTTAGTCCCACTGCCAGTGTTGACCCCAACACCAATATTGCTAGTGTTAGCACAGCCATTTTTTACTACACAACTGGCAATATGACAACACCAATGTCAGTGCCACCAGTGCAAGCCTCAGCAACAGTGTCACACCCACTGCCAAGTTTAACACCACTGTCACCTTTGCTAGTGGCAGCACTGCCACTGTTAATGCCACAACTGGCAATGTCAACAAAACCACCATCAATGCCACCACTGCAAGCAACAACACCTCAGTCACACGTACTGCCAGTTTCAACACAACCATTACCATTGTGAGTGGCAGCACTGCTACTCGAAACACCACAACTGGCAATGTGGATAACACCACTATAAGTCCTACCACAGTAAGCATCAATACCAGTGTCACTCCCTCTGCCAGGGTCAACACGACCATTGCCTCTGCTAATGTCAGTACATCCATTGTCACTACCACAAATGTTAATGTGAAAAACACCAGTGTCAGTGCCACTTCGGGAAGCCAGAACACCACTGTCAGTCCTACTGTCAGTCTAAACCCCACCACCAGCATTGCTAGTACCATCACTGCCCCTATGAACATCACAACTGGCAATATCAACAGCACCATAATCAGTGCTACTACTGCTAGGATCAATATGAATGAAACCTTCACTACCAGTTTAAACACCCCCACCACCATGGCTAGTGTCAGCACAGCCACTTTTGGAAACACAACTGGCAATGTCAACACCACTAACGTCAGTGCCACTACTTCAAGCCAGTACAACACTGTTAGTCCCACTGCCAGTGTTGACCCCAACACCAATATTGCTAGTGTTAGCACAGCCATTTTTTACAACACAACTGGCAATAACGACATCACCAATATCAGTGCCACCACTGCAAGCCTCAGTAACAGTGTCACACCCACTGCCAAGTTCAACACCACTGTCACCTTTGCTAGTGGCAGCACTGCCACTGTTAACGCCACAACTGGCAATGTCAACAACACCACCATCAATGCCACTACTGCAAGCAACAACACCTCAGTCACACCCAATGCCAGTTTCAACACAACCATTACCATTGTGAGTGTCAGCACTGCAACTCGAAACACCACAACTGGCAATGTGGATAACACCACTATCAGTCCTACCACTGTAAGCATCAATACCAATGTCACTCCCTCTGTCAGTGTCAACAGCACCTTTGCCTCTGCTAATGTCAGTACATCCATTGTCACTAGCACAAATGGTAATGTGAACAACACCAGTGTCAGTGCCACTTGGGGAAGCCAGAACACCACTGTCAGTCCTACTGTCAGTCTAAATCCCACCACCAGCATTGCTAGTATCAGCACTGCCCCTATAAACATCACAACTGGCAATGTGAACAGCACCATAATCAGTGCTACTACTGCTAGGATCAATACGAATGACACCTTCACTACCAGTTTAAACACCCCCACCACCATGGCTAGTGTCAGCACAGCCACTTTTGAAAACACAACTGGCAATGTCAACACCACCAAAACCAATGCTGCTACTGCAAGCCAGTTCACCACTGTTAGTCCTATTGCCAGTGTAAACACCAACATCACCATTGCTAGTGTCAGCACAGCCAATTTTAACAACACAACTGGCAATGTGGACAACACCAATACAAGTGCAACTACTGCAAACCTCAGCACCAGTGTCATTCCCACTACCAAGTCCAACACCACTGTCACCTTTGCTAGTGGCAGCACTGATGCTCGTAAAACCACAGCGGGCACTGTTAACAATACTAATATCAATGCCACTACTGCAACCAACAACACCCCTGTCACTCCCACTGCCAGTGTCAACACCACCATTGCCTCTGCTAGTGTCAGTACATCCATTGTCACTACCACAAATGGTAATGTGAACAACACCAGTGTCAGTGCCACTTGGGGAAGCCAGAACACCACTGTCAGTCCTACTGTCAGTCTAAATCCCACCACCAGCATTGCTAGTATCAGCACTGCCCCTATAAACATCACAACTGGCAATGTGAACAGCACCATAATCAGTGCTACTACTGCTAGGATCAATACGAATGACACCTTCACTACCAGTTTAAACACCCCCACCACCATGGCTAGAGTCAGCACAGCCACTTTTGACAACACAACTGGCAATGTCAACACCACTAACATTGGTGCCACTACTACAGGGCAGAACACCACTGTCAGTCCCAATGCCAGTGGAAACACCACCATCACCATTGCAAGTGTCAGCACAGCCAATTTAAACAACACAACTGGCAATAACGACAACACCAATATCAGTTCCACCACTGCAAGCCTCAGCAACAGTGTCACACCCACTGCCAATATCAACACCAGTGTCACCTTTGCTAGTGGCAGCACTGATGCTCGTAACACCACAGCAGTCACTGTTAACAATACTAATATCAATGCCACTACTGCAACCAACAACACCCCTGTCACTCCCACTGCCAGTGTCAACATGACCATTGCCTCCACTAGTGTCAGTACAACCATTGTCATTAGCACAAATGGTAATGTGAACAACACCAGTTTTAGTGCCACTTCGGGAAGCCAGAACACCACTGTCAGTCCTACTGTCAGTCTAATACCACAACCAACATTGCTATTATCAGCACTGCCCCTACAAACATCACAAATGGCAATGTCAGTACTACTATCTCTGCTAGGATCAATACGAATGACACTTTCACATCCAGTTTAAACACCCCAACTACCATGGCTAGTGTCAGCACAGCCACTTTTGAAAACACAACTGGCAATGTTAACACCACTAACGTCAGTGCCACTACTTCAAGCCAGTACACCACTGTTAGTCCCACTGCCAGTGTTACCCCAACACCAATATTGCTAGTGTTAGCACAGCCATTTTTTACTACACAACTGGCAATAATGACAACACCAATGTCAGTGCCACCAGTGCAAGCCTCAGCAACAGTGTCACACCCACTGCCAAGTTTAACACCACTGTCACCTTTGCTAGTGGCAGCACTGCCACTGTTAATGCCACAACTGGCAATGTCAACAAAACCACCATCAATGCCACCACTGCAAGCAACAACACCTCAGTCACACCCACTGCCAGTTTCAACACAACCATTACCATTGTGAGTGTCAGCACTGCTACTCGAAACACCACAACTGGCAATGTGGATAACACCACTATAAGTCCTACCACAGTAAGCATCAATACCAGTGTCACTCCCTCTGCCAGGGTCAACACGACCATTGCCTCTGCTAATGTCAGTACATCCATTGTCACTACCACAAATGTTAATGTGAACAACACCAGTGTCAGTGCCACTTCGGGAAGCCAGAACACCACTGTCAGTCCTACTGTCAGTCTAAACCCCACCACCAGCATTGCTAGTACCATCACTGCCCCTATGAACATCACAACTGGCAATATCAACAGCACCATAATCAGTGCTACTACTGCTAGGATCAATATGAATGAAACCTTCACTACCAGTTTAAACACCCCCACCACCATGGCTAGTGTCAGCACAGCCACTTTTGAAAACACAACTGGCAATATCAACACCACTAACGTCAGTGCCACTACTTCAAGCCAGTACACCACTGTTAGTCCCATTGCCAGTGTAAACACCAACACCAATATTGCTAGTGTTAGCACAGCCATTTTTTACAACACAACTGGCAATAACGACAACACCAATATCAGTTCCACCACTGCAAGCCTCAGCAACAGTGTCACACCCACTGCCAAGTTCAACACCACTGTCACCTTTGCTAGTGGCAGCACTGCCACTGTTAACGCCACAACTGGCAATGTCAACAACACCACCATCAATGCCACTACTGCAAGCAACAACACCTCAGTCACACCCAATGCCAGTTTCAACACAACCATTACCATTGTGAGTGTCAGCAGTGCAACTCGAAACACCACAACTGGCAATGTTGATAACACCACTATCAGTCCTACCACTGTAAGCATCAATACCAATGTCACTCCCTCTGTCAGTGTCAACAGCACCTTTGCCTCTGCTAATGTCAGTACATCCATTGTCACTAGCACAAATGGTAATGTGAACAACACCAGTTTTAGTGCCACTTGGGGAAGCCAGAACACCACTGTCAGCCCTACTGTCAGTCTAAACCCCACCACCAGCATTGCTAGTATCAGCACTGCCCCTATGAACATCACAACTGGAAATATCAACAGAACCATAATCAGTGCTACTACTGCTAGCATCAATATAAATGACACCTTCACTACCAGTTTAAACACCCCCACCACCATGGCTAGTGTCAGCACAGCCACTTTTGACAACACAACTGGCAATGTCAACACCACTAACATTGGTGCCACTACTACAGGGCAGAACACCACTGTTGGTCCCAATGCCAGTGTAAACACCACCATCACCATTGCAAGTGTCAGCACAGCCAATTTAAACAACACAACTGGCAATGTCAACAATACCAATATCAGTTCCACCACTGCAAGCCTCAGCAACATTGTCACTCCCGCTGCCAATATCAACACCAGTGTCACCTTTGCTAGTGGCAGCACTGAAGCTCGTAACACCACAGCAGGCAATGTTAATAATACTAATATCAATGCCACTACTGCAACCAACAACACCCCTGTCACTCCCACTGCCAGTGTCAACACCACCATTGCCTCTGCTAGTGTCAGTACATCCATTGTCACTAGCACAAATGGTAATATCAACAACACCAGTGTCAGTGCCACTTCGGGAAGTCAGAACACCACTGTCAGTCCTACTGTCAGTCGAAACCCCACCACCAGCATTGCTAGTATCATCACTGCCCCTAGAAACATCACAACTGGCAATATCGGCAGCACCATAATCAGTGCAACTACTGCTAGGATCAATACGAATGACACCTTCACTACCAGTTTAAACACCCCCACCACCATGGCTAGTGTCAGCACAGCCACTTTTGACAACACAACTGGCAATGTCAACACCACTAACATTGGTGCCACTACTACAGGGCAGAACACCACTGTTGGTCCCAATGCCAGTGTAAACACCACCATCACCATTGCAAGTGTCAGCACAGCCAATTTAAACAACACAACTGGCAATGTCAACAATACCAATATCAGTTCCACCACTGCAAGCCTCAGCAACATTGTCACTCCCACTGCCAATATCAACACCAGTGTGACCTTTGCTAGTGGCAGCACTGCCACTCGTAACACCACAGCAGGCAATTTTAACAATACTAATATCAATGCCACTACTGCAACCAACAACACCCCTGTCACTCCCACTGCCAGTGTCAACACCACCATTGCCTCTGCTAGTGTCAGTACATCCATTGTCACTAGCACAAATGGTAATGTGAACAACACCAGTGTCAGTGCCACTTGGGGAAGCCAGAACACCACTGTCAGTCCTACTGTCAGTCTAAACCCCACCACCAGCATTGCTAGTATCATCACTGCCCCTATAAACATCACAACTGGAAATATCAAGAGCACCATAATCAGTGCTACTACTGCTAGGATCAATATAAATGACACCTTCGCTACCAGTTTAAACACCCCCACCACCATGGCTAGAGTCAGCACAGCCACTTTTGACAACACAACTGGCAATGTCAACACCACCAAAACCAATGCTGCTACTGCAAGCCAGTTCACCACTGTTAGTCCCATTGCCAGTGTAAACACCAACATCACCATTGCTAGTGTTAGCACAGCCAATTTTAACAACACAACTGGCAATGTCGACAATACCAATATCAGTTCCACCACTGCAAGCCTCAGCAACATTGTCACTCCCACTGCCAATATCAACACCAGTGTCACCTTTGCTAGTGGCAGCACTGATGCTCGTAAAACCACAGCGGGCACTGTTAACAATACTAATATCAATGCCACTACTGCAACCAACAACACCCCTGTCACTCCCACTGCCAGTGTCAACACCACCATTGCCTCTGCTAGTGTCAGTACATCCATTGTCACTAGCACAAATGGTAATGTGAACAACACCAGTGTCAGTGCCACTTGGGGAAGCCAGAACACCACTGTCAGTCCTACTGTCAGTCTAAATCCCACCACCAGCATTGCTAGTATCATCACTGCCCCTATAAACATCACAACTGGCAATGTGAACAGCACCATAATCAGTGCTACTACTGCTAGGATCAATACGAATGATACCTTCACTACCAGTTTAAACACCCCCACCACCATGGCTAGAGTCAGCACAGCCACTTTTGACAACACAACTGGCAATGTCAACAACACTAACATTGGTGCCACTACTACAGGGCAGAACACCACTGTCAGTCCCAATGCCAGTGTAAACACCACCATCACCATTGCTAGTGTCAGCACAGCCAATTTAAACAACACAACTGGCAATGTGGACAACACCAATACAAGTGCAACTACTGCAAACCTCAGCAACAGTGTCACTCCCACTACCAAATCCAACACCACTGTCACCTTTGCTAGTGGCAGCAGTGCAACTGTTGCCAGCCTAAACACCGCCATCAACATTGCTAGTATCAGCACTGCCCCTATAAACATCACAACTGGCAAAGTCAACAACCCCACAATCAGGGATACTACTGCTAGGATCAACACGAATGATACTTTCACTACCAGTCTAATGACCCTCACCACCATGGCTAGTGTCAGCACAGCCGCTTTTGAAAACTCAACTGGCAATGTCAACACCACCAAACCCAATGCCGGTACTGCAAGCCAGGTCACCACTGTTAGTCCCAATGCCAGTGTAAACACCAACATCACCATTGCTAGTGTCAGCACAGCCAATTTTAACAACAAAACTGGCAATGTCGACAATACCAATATCAGTTCCACCACTGCAAGCCTCAGCAACATTGTCACTCCCACTGCCAATATCAACACCAGTGTGACCTTTGCTAGTGGCAGCACTGCCACTCGTAACACCACAGCAGGCAATTTTAACAATACTAATATCAATGCCACTACTGCAACCAACAACACCCCTGTCACTCCCACTGCCAGTGTCAACACCACCATTGCCTCTGCTAGTGTCAGTACATCCATTGTCACTAGCACAAATGGTAATGTGAACAACACCAGTGTCAGTGCCACTTGGGGAAGCCAGAACACCACTGTCAGTCCTACTGTCAGTCTAAATCCCACCACCAGCATTGCTAGTATCATCACTGCCCCTATAAACATCACAACTGGCAATGTGAACAGCACCATAATCAGTGCTACTACTGCTAGGATCAATACGAATGATACCTTCACTACCACTTTAAACACCCCCACCACCATGGCTAGAGTCAGCACAGCCACTTTTGACAACACAACTGGCAATGTCAACAACACTAACATTGGTGCCACTACTACAGGGCAGAACACCACTGTCAGTCCCAATGCCAGTGTAAACACCACCATCACCATTGCTAGTGTCAGCACAGCCAATTTTAACAACACAACTGGCAATGTCAACAATACCAATATCAGTTCCACCACTGCAAGCCTCAGCAACATTGTCACTCCCACTGCCAATATCAACACCAGTGTCACCTTTGCTAGTGGCAGCACTGATGCTCGTAACACCACAATTGGCAACGGTAACAATACTAATATCAATGCCACTACTGCAACCAACAACACCCCTGTCACTCCCACTGCCAGTGTCAACACCACCATTGCCTCTGCTAGTGTCAGTACATCCATTGTCACTAGCACAAATGGTAATGTCAACAACACCAGTGTGAGTGCCACTTCGGGAAGTCAGAACACCACTGTCAGTCCTACTGTCAGTCTAAACCCCACCACCAGCATTGCTAGTATCAGCACTGCCCCTATAAACATCACAACTGGCAATGTCAACAACCCCACAATCAGGGATACTACTGCTAGGATCAACACGAATGATACTTTCACTACCAGTCTAATGGCCCTCACCACCATGGCTAGTGTCAGCACAGCCACTTTTGACAACACAACTGGTGATGTCAACACCACCAAAACCAATGCCGCTACTGCAAGCCAGTTCACCACTGTTAGTCCCATTGCCAGTGTAAACACCATCATCACCATTGCTAGTGTCAGCACAGCTAATTTTAACAACACAACTGGCAATGTCGACAATACCATTACCAGTTCCACGACTCCAAGCCTCAGCAACATTGTCACTCCCACTGCCAATATCAACACCAGTGTCACCTTTGCTAGTGGCAGCACTGATGCTCGTAACACCACAGCAGGCACTGTTAACAGTACTAATATCAATGCCACTACTGCAACCAACAACACCCCTGTCACTCCCACTGCCAGTGTCAACACCACCATTGCCTCTGCTATTGTCAGTACATCCATTGTCACTACCACAAATGGTAATGTGAAAAACACCAGTGTCAGTGCCACTTCGGGAAGCCAGAACACCACTGTCAGTCCTAATGTCAGTCTAAACCCCACCACCAGCATTGCTAGTATCATCACTGCCCCTATAAACATTACAACTGGCAATATCAACAGCACCATAATCAGTGCTACTACTGCTAGGATCAATATAAATGACACCTTCACTACCAGTTTAAACACCCCCACCACCATGGCTAACGTCAGCATAGCCACTTCTGACAACACAACTAGCAATGTCAACACCACTAACATTGGTGCCACTACTACAGGGCAGAACACCAATGTTAGTCCCAATGCCAGTGTAAACACCACCATCACCATTGCAAGTGTCAGCACAGCCAATTTAAACAACACAACTGGCAATGTGGACAACACCAATACAAGTGCAACTACTGCAAACCTCAGCACCAGTGTCACTCCCACTACCAAGTCCAACACCACTGTCACCTTTGCTAGTGGCAGCAGTGCAACTGTTGCCAGCCTAAACACCACCATCAACATTGCTAGTATCAGCACTGCCCCTATAAACATCACAACTGGCAATGTCAACAACCCCACAATCAGGGATACTACTGCTAGGATCAACACGAATGATACTTTCACTACCAGTCTAATGGCCCTCACCACCATGGCTAGTGTCAGCACAGCCGCTTTTGGAAACACAACTGGTGATGTCAACACCACCAAAACCAATGCCGCTACTGCAAGCCAGTTCACCACTGTTAGTCCCACTGCCAGTGTAAACACCAACATCACCATTGCTAGTGTCAGCACAGCTAATTTTAACAACACAACTGGCAATGTCAACAATACCAATATCAGTTCCACCACTGCAAGCCTCAGCAACATTGTCACTCCCGCTGCCAATATCAACACCAGTGTCACCTTTGCTAGTGGCAGCACTGAAGCTCGTAACACCACAGCAGGCAATGTTAATAATACTAATATCAATGCCACTACTGCAAACAACAACACCCCTGTCAGTGTCAATACCACCATTGCCTCTGCTAGTGTCAGTACATCCATTGTCACTACCACAAATGGTAATATCAACAACACCAGTGTCAGTGCCACTTCGGGAAGTCAGAACACCACTGTCAGTCCTACTGTCAGTCGAAACCCCACCACCAGCATTGCTAGTATCATCACTGCCCCTAGAAACATCACAACTGGCAATATCGGCAGCACCATAATCAGTGCAACTACTGCTAGGATCAATATGAATGACACCTTCACTACCAATTTAAACACCCCCACCACCATGGCTAGAGTCAGCACAGCCACTTTTGAAAACACAACTGGCAATGTCAACACCACTAATATTGGTGCCACTACTACAGGGCAGAACACCACTGTTAGTCCCAATGCCAGTGTAAACACCACCATCACCATTGCAAGTGTCAGCACAGCCAATTTAAACAACACAACTGGCAATGTGGACAACACCAATACAAGTGCAACTACTGCAAACCTCAGGAGCAGTGTCACTCCCACTACCAAATCCAACACCACTCTCACCTTTGCTAGTGGCAGCACTGCAACTGTGTCCAGCCTAAACACCGCCATCAACATTGCTAGTATCAGCACTGCCCCTATAAACATCACAACTGGCAATGTCAACAACCCCACAATCAGGGATACTACTGCTAGGATCAACACGAATGATACTTTCACTACCAGTCTAATGACCTTCACAACCATGGCTAGTGTCAGCACAGCCACTTTTGAAAACACACCTGGCAATGTCAACACCACCAAAACCAATGCCGCTACTGCAAGCCAGTTCACCACTGTTAGTCCCATTGCCAGTGTAAACACCACCATCACCATTGCTAGTGTCAGCACAGCCAATTTTAACAACACAACTGGCAATGTGGACAATACCAATATCAGTTCCACCACTGCAAGTCTCAGCAACATTGTCACTCCCACTGCCAATATCAACACCAGTGTCACCTTTGCTAGTGGCAGCACTGATGCTCGTAACACCCCAATTGGCAATGTTAACAATACAAATATCAATGCCACTACTGCAACCAACAACACCCCTGTCACTCCCACTGCAAGTGTCAACACCACCATTGCCTCTGCTAGTGTCAGTACATCCATTGTCACTAGCACAAATGGTAATGTGAAAAACACCAGTGTCAGTGCCACTTCGGGAAGCCAGAACACCACATTCAGTCCTACTGTCAGCCTAAACCCCACCACCAAAATTACTATTATCAGCACTGCCCCTACAAACATCACAACTGGCAATGTCAGTGCTACTTCTGCTAGGATCAATACGAATGACACTTTCACTTCCAGTTTAAACACCCCAACTTCCATGGCTAGTGTCAGCACAGCCACTTTTGACAATACATCTGGGAATGTTAACACCACTAACGTCAGTGCAACTATTTCAAGCCAGTACACCACTGTTAGTCCCACTGCCAGTGTTCACACCACCACCAATATTGCTAGTGTTAGCACAGCCATTTTTTACAACACAACTGGCAATAACGACAACACCAATATCAGTGCCATTACTGCAAGCCTCAGCAACAGTGTCACACCCACTGCCAAATTCAACACCACTGTCACCTTTGCTAGTGGCAGCAGTGCCACTGTTAATGCCACAACTGGCAATGTCAATAACACCACCATCAATGCCACCACTGCAAGCAACAACACCTCAGTCAATGCCAGTTTCAACACCACCATTGCCATTGTGAGTGTCAGCACTGCCACTCGAAACACCACAGCAGGCAATGTTGATAACACCACTATCAGTCCCACCATGGCAAGCATCAATACCAGTGTCACTCCCTCTGCCATTTTCAACACCACCATTGCTAGTGTCAGCACAGTCACAGTCAGCAATGTCAACACCACTAACATTGGTGCCACTACTACAGGGCAGAACACCACTGTTAGTCCCAATGCCAGTGTAAACACCACCATCACCATTGCAAGTGTCAGCACAGCCAAGTTTAACAACACAACTGGCAATGTGGACAACACCAATACAAGTGCAACTACTGCAAACCTCAGCAGCAGTGTCACTCCCACTACCAAATCCAACACCACTGTCACCTTTGCTAGTGGCAGCACTGCAACTGTTGCCAGCCTAAACACCACCATCAACATTGCTAGTATCAGCACTGCCCCTATAAACATCACAACTGGCAATGTCAACAACCCCACAATGAGGGATACTACTGCTAGGATCAACACGAATGATACTTTCACTACCAGTCTAATGACCTTCACAACCATGGCTAGTGTCAGCACAGCCACTTTTGAAAACACAACTGGCAATGTCAACACCACCAAAACCAATGCCGCTACTGCAAGCCAGTTCACCACTGTTAGTCCCATTGCCAGTGTAAACACCACCATCACCATTGCTAGTGTCAGCACAGCCAATTTTAACAACAAAACTGGCAATGTCGACAATACCAATATCAGTTCCACCACTGCAAGCCTCAGCAACATTGTCACTCCCACTGCCAATATCAACACCAGTGTGACCTTTGCTAGTGGCAGCACTGCCACTCGTAACACCACAGCAGGCAATTTTAACAATACTAATATCAATGCCACTACTGCAACCAACAACACCCCTGTCACTCCCACTGCCAGTGTCAACACGACCATTGCCTCCGCTAGTGTCAGTACAACCATTGTCATTAGCACAAATGGTAATGTGAACAAGACCAGTTTTAGTGCCACTTCGGGAAGCCAGAACACCACTGTCAGTCCTAATGTCAGTCTAAATACCACAACCAACATTGCTATTATCAGCACTGCCCCTACAAACATCACAAATGGCAATGTCAGTGCTACTTCTGCTAGGACCAATACGAATGACACTTTCACATCCAGTTTAAACACCCCAACTACCATGGCTAGTGTCAGCACAGCCACTTTTGACAATACATTTGGGAATGTTAACACCACTAACGTCAGTGCCACTACTTCAAGCCAGTACACCACTGTTAGTCCCACTGCCAGTGTTGACCCCAACACCAATATTGCTAGTGTTAGCACAGCCATTTTTAACAACACAACTGGCAATAATGACAACACCAATGTCAGTGCCACCACTGCAAGCCTCAGCAACAGTGTCACACCCACTGCCAAGTTTAACACCACTGTCACCTTTGCTAGTGGCAGCACTTCCACTGTTAATGCCACAACTGGCAATGTCAACAAAACCACCATCAATGCCACCACTGCAAGCAACAACACCTCAGTCGCACCCACTGCCAGTTTCAACACAACCATTACCATTGTGAGTGTCAGCACTGCTACTCGAAACACCACAACTGGCAATGTGGATAACACCACTATAAGTCCTACCACTGTAAGCATTAATACCAGTGTCACTCCCTCTGCCAGGGTCAACACCACCATTTCCTCTGCTAATGTCAGTACATCCATTGTCAGTACCACAAATGTTAATGTGAACAACACCAGTGTCAGTGCCACTTCGGGAAGCCAGAACACCACTGTCAGTCCTACTGTCAGTCTAAACCCCACCACCAGCATTGCTAGTATCATCACTGCCCCTAGAAACATCACAACTGGCAATATCGGCAGCACCATAATCAGTGCAACTACTGCTAGGATCAATATGAATGACACCTTCACTACCAGTTTAAACACCCCCACCACCATGGCTAGTGTCAGCACAGCCACTTTTGAAAACACAACTGGCAATGTCAACACCACTAACATTGGTGCCACTACTACAGGGCAGAACACCACTGTTGGTCCCAATGCCAGTGTAAACACCACCATCACCATTGCAAGTGTCAGCACAGCCAATTTAAACAACACAACTGGCAATGTGGACAACACCAATACAAGTGCAACTACTGCAAACCTCAGCAGCAGTGTCACTCCCACTACCAAATCCAACACCACTCTCACCTTTGCTAGTGGCAGCACTGCAACTGTGTCCAGCCTAAACACCACCATCAACATTGCTAGTATCAGCACTGCCCCTATAAACATCACAACTGGCAATGTCAACAACCCCACAATCAGGGATACTACTGCTAGGATCAACACGAATGATACTTTCACTACCAGTCTAATGACCTTCACAACCATGGCTAGTGTCAGCACAGCCACTTTTGAAAACACAACTGGCAATGTCAACACCACCAAAACCAATGCCGCTACTGCAAGCCAGTTCACCACTGTTAGTCCCACTGCCAGTGTAAACACCAACATCACCATTGCTAGTGTCAGCACAGCCAATTTTAACAACACAACTGGCAATGTGGACAATACCAATATCAGTTCCACCACTGCAAGTCTCAGCAACATTGTCACTCCCACTGCCAATATCAACACGAGTGTCACCTTTGCTAGTGGCAGCACTGAAGCTCGTAACACCACAGCAGGCAATGTTAATAATACTAATATCAATGCCACTACTGCAACCAACAACACCCCTGTCACTCCCACTGCCAGTGTCAACACCACCATTGCCTCTGCTAGTGTCAGTACATCCATTGTCACTAGCACAAATGGTAATGTGAAAAACACCAGTGTCAGTGCCACTTCGGGAAGCCAGAACACCACATTCAGTCCTACTGTCAGCCTAAACCCCACCACCAAAATTACTATTATCAGCACTGCCCCTACAAACATCACAACTGGCAATGTCAGTGCTACTTCTGCTAGGATCAATACGAATGACACTTTCACTTCCAGTTTAAACACCCCAACTTCCATGGCTAGTGTCAGCACAGCCACTTTTGACAATACATCTGGGAATGTTAACACCACTAATGTCAGTGCAACTATTTCAAGCCAGTACACCACTGTTAGTCCCACTGCCAGTGTTCACACCACCACCAATATTGCTAGTGTTAGCACAGCCATTTTTTACAACACAACTGGCAATAACGACAACACCAATATCAGTGCCATTACTGCAAGCCTCAGCAACAGTGTCACACCCACTGCCAAATTCAACACCACTGTCACCTTTGCTAGTGGCAGCAGTGCCACTGTTAATGCCACAACTGGCAATGTCAATAACACCACCATCAATGCCACCACTGCAAGCAACAACACCTCAGTCAATGCCAGTTTCAACACCACCATTGCCATTGTGAGTGTCAGCACTGCCACTCGAAACACCACAGCAGGCAATGTTGATAACACCACTATCAGTCCCACCATGGCAAGCATCAATACCAGTGTCACTCCCTCTGCCATTTTCAACACCACCATTGCTAGTGTCAGCACAGTCACAGTCAGCAATGTCAACACCACTAACATTGGTGCCACTACTACAGGGCAGAACACCACTTTTAGTCCCAATGCCAGTGTAAACACCAACATCACCATTGCAAGTGTCAGCACAGCCAATCTTAATAACACAACTGGCAATGTGGACAACACCAATACAAGTGCAACTACTGCAAACCTCAGCGGCATTGTCACTCCCACTACAAAGTCCAACACCACTGTCACTCCCTCTGCCATTGTCAACACCACCATTGCCTCTGCTAGTGTCAGTACATCCATTGTCACTAGCACAAATGGTAATGTGAACAACACCAGTGTCAGTGCCACTTCGGGAAGCCAGAACACCACTGTCAGTCCTACTGTCAGTCGAAACCCCACCACCAAAATTGCTAGTATCAGCACTGCCTCTATGAACATCACAACTGGCAATATCAACAGCACCATAATCACGAATACTACTGCTAGGATCAATACGAATGATACCTTCACTACCAGTTTGAACACCCCCACCACCATTGCTAGTGTCAGCACAGTCACAGTCAGCAATGTCAACACCACTAACATTGGTGCCACTATTACAGGGCAGAACACCACTGTTAGTCCCAATGCCAGTGTAAACACCAACATCACCATTGCTAGTCTCAGCACAGCCAATCTTAATAACACAACTGGCAATGTGGACAACACCAATACAAGTGCAACTACTGCAAACCTCAGCGGCATTGTCACTCCCACTACAAAGTCCAACACCTCTGTCACCTTTGGTCATGGCAGCAGTGCCACTGTTAACACTACAGCTGGCAATGTCAACAACACCACCATCAATGCCACCACTGCAACCAACAACACCCCTATCACTCCCACTGCCGGTGTCAACACCACCATTCTCTCTGCTAGTGTTAGTACATCCATTGTCAGTACCACAAAAAGTAATGTGAACAACACCAGTGTCAGTGCCACTTCGGGAAGCCAGAACACCACTGTCAGTCCTACTGCCAATGTCAACACCCCCACCAACATTGCGAGTATCAGCACTGCCCCTATAAACATCACAAATGGCAATGTCTACAACACCATGATCAGTGCTACTACTGCTAGAACTAATACGAATAACACCTTCACCACAAGTCTAAACACCCCCACCACCATGGCTAATGTCAGCACAGCCACTTCTGACAACACAACTGGCAATGTCAAAACCACTACAATCAGTGCCACTACTACAAGGCAGAATAACACTGTTGGTCCCAATGCCAGTGTAAACACCACCATCACCATTGCTAGTGTCAGCACAGCCAATTTTAACAACACAACTGGCAATGTTGACAACAGCAATATCAGTGCCACCACTGCAAGCGTCAGCACCAGTGTCCCTCCCACTGCCAAGTTCAACACCACTTTCACCTTTGCTAGTTTCAGCACTACCCCTCTAAACACTACAACTGGCATTGTCAACAACACCACCATTACTGCCACCACTGCAAGCCTCAAAACCAATGTCACTCCCACTAGTGTCAGTTCTGCAATTGTCAATATCACAACTAGTAATATCAACAACACCAGTGTCAGTGCCACTTTTGCAGGCCAGAATACCCCTGTCAGTCCCACTACCGTAACCATTGCTAGTGTTATCATTGCCACTTTCAATACCACAACTCGAAATGTCAACAGTACCAGTGTCAGTGCCACCACTGCAAGTTACACCAATGTAACTCCCACTGCCAGTGTAAATACCCCCATCGCCATTGCTAGTGTTAACACTGCCACAACTCGCAATGTCAACAGTACCAGTGTCACTGCCACCACTGCAAGCTACAACGCTACTGTACGTCCTACTGCCAGTTCCAGCAGTACCATCACCATTGCCAGTGGAAGCACTAAATACACTCTTGGTGTCACTGACAGTTATAGTGCTACAACAGAGACTGCTGCCAACACCATTAACACTACCAACACTAGTGACAACACCAGTCACAGCATCACCAATAGGAGTCTCACCACTACCCTTCCTAGCAAAAATACCCCTGTTCCCACTGATGCACCTGCCAGTGCCATTACCACAACTGGAATTACTGTTAGGGCTAACAGTGCTACAGCAGCTACCACTGTCACTACCAGCACTAGTTTCAGCACTGGCACAAATACCATCATCACCACTGCTGGAATCACCTCCTCTGCCACCATCACCAGTGTCACCACCTCTACTACCACTACAATGGCATCACAGATCATTTGTCAAGGTGTAAATAGGTAAGCTATGGTTGTTAAAATTAAAAATAATACGATATTCCACAAAAATGATTAATATTAGATTTTTTTTCTTCACAGCACACTTGAAAATCTGCTGTCATCGGGAAGTGTATCTGCTGTGCTGTGCGACTTCAACATCTCTGAATATGCTTGTTCATCTGTGAGTTTTTCAAGAAAGCAAAAATAAATCAATTTATAGGTTTGATCTTTTTAGTTATCACATTTTCAGCCATATACCTGCTTATAGTCTCTCTCCTTTTTTGTCTTTACTTGTATGTTCTAGTCTCCTAAGGTTGCTGCTCTGTCCTCTGATGATCTCGTCGCACTACTGACATGCAAACTGCCAAGCAACGTGGTCTACTCCAAAGAAATTTGGATGCTTTTCCTCCAAATGTTTTCATCACCTCTCCAGGCAGCTCTGGATAAGTACTCCAGCTTGGTATGTGATATTCATTTGAGTTGCAAGAATAAGTAAATATTTGGTCTGAACTGCACATTGAAATATCCACTGTCTTTTACAGACACCCAACATCACTCTGATTGACCCATCTTTCCTTAATGCCATCGGGGATGTGATAGTCAACAACTTCAGTGCTGCACAGCTTAGGGATGCTGTTTTCATCACCCAGTGGTTCCAGATTAGACTCAGACCATTTTTATCATCAGTGTCTGCAGACTTTCTCTCCATTCTCAGTTCTAAGGACTTCAGCTGTGAGACCTACCAAGTTGTGTAAGTATGTATAGTGGAAATGTAGAACATTACAGATGGTTTTTATGGCATGCAGTTTTTAAAGAAACAGTGAACAATCCTTCGCAACATCTGATCTGTTCTTATCCAACTTAGGGTAAAAGCATTTAGTTCACAAGAACCGACCATGAAAGATCAGCAAAAATTGTCCGTCATCAATACTTTCATCAAACCCTTCCTCAAAGGTAATTCAAAATAATGTCACGTAAAATAACACTTAACATTTATTTTTGTCTTAGTTGGTGAAACAGCAGTTACTTGTTCAGTGGAATGAAACAAAAAAGATTCTGTTCTGATTAGGTTCCCTTCTGCACTGTGAGCATGGCTGTGTTTCCAAGACTCCTGGCAGCAGTAACTGACTAAATGTAATGTTTATATCTGTTAATATTCAGTCTGTGTAACATACTCTGGTGTTTCAGGTCAGTCCTGTGTGCAACCAGGGAGCAACGATACAGACTGGCTGGTGAAGAATTTTGGCCAATTCAGGAGTTCTGCTTCATTTTCTGATTTCATCAGCCTGAAGAGTGACTTCAATGGAGTGAGTTACACAACATTCTAATGTGTGCATTTACTATACAGTGGTGCATTCATAAGGTGTTTCTTCCACTCCAGATTCAAAAACAAGAATTGCTAGCATTTGTGGGAACCATCAGTTTCTAGTTCCAGTTCATTTTCCACCTAGTTGAGTGCAAAGATAATGAAACGACATACTGCTTTGTACTCCTACCAATTTCTACAGTTGAACAGAATCATGTGTGAAATCCAAGTTTATTTTTTCTTGGTCAAGCGTGAATATATGAGCAAAATCACCCATTCTGTAAAAGCAAGCATAAATACTAGTTACTATTAGCTGCCTAACACTTTTTTCTCTCATAACTGATTCTCCCTCCTCTCACACATACTCTCTCTCTCTTAGGTAAATGCAGCAGGGGTTCTAACTTCATCCCAGTTGGCAGAACTTTGCTCTGACCCCACTCGACTTCGTGGTCCCCAGGATGTAAACACTGTGATGGCGGCTGTCAGTCCGAACCAATTCACCTCCTTCTTTGACAGCCTCACTTCTAGCATCCAGGTACTTATCATTTCTCTGTGTTAGCACATTCACAGTTCTCTAGACAGACACTCACTCATTCATAGTTCATCCAGATCTTTGGATTAATTCATGCCCTGAAACTTGGTATAGAGGTTTTAGCATCTCACAAATGGCTTTATCCTGTGCTTTCCATGCACTGTTCTTTGCGAATGATGATCATTCACAAAGAGATGAGCCACAACCTGGCAAATTACATCCAAATTCATACAGTGGCATAATGCTATCTCAGTATGAGAGCGATGGGCCGAAGTAATCGAAAATTGTCAATGATGGACAAGTGACTAGATGGCGATGTGTAAAAGGCGATAATCATTTTAGAAAAAGGAATGAGAGAGAATTAGAGAATTCTAACAACTTGTAAATGTGAAATTGGGGTTCATGTTTAAAAGTATGTGGCCACACAAATACTCTTTTTTTTTGTTGTTTGAGTGGGAAAGAGAGAGAGAGAGGATTAGCATGCGAGTCACTGTAAACCCACACCAGAAGGAGCTCAATAATGCATATATTTGCAGAAATATTCATTAGAACAAGTGAAGTAGTTTTCAAAGGATACTGAGTTGCTCAGTGTTATGTTATTTAATTGTAGTCTTATAAAATTTTCATTAAAACAATTAATGTCCATTGAAAAAAAACATACACTAAAAATATATACAAAATATATACAAAGTATGTCAAAGCTGCAGCGGACTGCATGTATTTGTTATAATCAATAATCACAATTTTCTAACTAGAAAATACCATGATAATTATTATTAGATAAAGCCTACTCAAAACGTACCTCTAAGGCTCCAGCAGCTGAAACCATGTGGTGTCCAAATGTTGTCAGTGAACTTTGAGAGAGCGTTCTCCTGTAGTCAGAGGAATATGAAAAATAGACTGCTGAGGAGTGCCCAAAAGTTGCCTGGATATTCAAATCCAGGGTCATTTTTAATCATGCAAATTATTGAAGTAAGCGTAAATGAGCAGTTAAAACTACTTAAGTACTCAAGTTACTTAGTTACTTTTTCATATTTCCACTGACACTGCAAAAAATCTGTACAGAAAAACACTTAAGTGAAACACGACAATATGTGGGTAAAAGTTCTGAGAGCTGAGGCTGATCACAGTACGCTCTGCTAGTGCACAGTTACACACCTTTCTGTGAACCCTGTAAGGAGCAAGGTTTGCATTAAACTGCATGCATTTCATGGTGAGATGATTATATAAGACTTCCTAGTTTATCTGTTTCCAATAAAGTATTTTAGAATCCCTGAAAGACTGTGCAGAGGCTGTTACTGTTTAATTAAGTTCATTTAAAAGAAATTCAAAATTATGAGTGGCTTGCTTAATTAGTAACACCGACAACGCGACAGAATCATGGTCCAGAGTTTATGAAGAACCTGTATTAGCCTAGATTTCTTGTCATACAGCCGTTCACAACCATTTATCTCCAAAACAACAGCTAAACTATGCTGTATCTGTGTCTGCGGGTGACACCTGTTAGCTAAAGCAGCTGTCAGACACTATAATAAAACATACGCAACAGATTTTAAGTTTAATAAACAGAAGCTTATAAAAGAAAGAAGAAACCCACAAACACGGTACCTGTTTAGCTCGGATTAGCTAGCTCGGCTAAAGCTGCCTCAGGCTGTAGTCAAGTTGTGAGAGCAGATCTCAGCAGATTTTTCATGTTTGGCCACTGATAATAACGCCGTTTTCTTTAGTTCATGTTAAATGAATACAGATGACCGTTTGGATGCGGTCTGTTCCTCGTGTGTGCTGGTTAAGTTCTCCTCTCTCCGTCTCCACTAAACTGGCCATCTCTGTATTGTTTTTCCTGCCGGAGCTGCTGTTTTTTAATTGGTGAATCTTTTAAAGGTAACTGCGCTTTGTTTTTATTGGTTTCTGAGCTGACACGCTCATAATTTATTTTTACTCTGTAACGTTATGAAAATTAAAGTAGCGAAGTAAAAGTATTTCATTAAAAATGCACTCAGGTAAGAGTAAAAGTACTATGATTTAATTCTACTCCAAAAAGTACCGTTACAGGGAAAACTGTACTCAATTACAGTAACAAGAGTAAATATAATTTGTTACTTACACCTCTGGGAAAGGGTTATTTACAAGAAAACTGTGCAGCTGTTTTATTTGCAGCAACTGCACATTTTCACCTTTACCCCGCTTGACATATCCAGCGCCTTAAGGAATCCATGCCCAAGTCAATTGATGACGTTGTAAAGCACAGAGAGTGTAAAAAAGGTCTATCCTTGGTCACAATATTCAATATCACATCCAAAACTGCTTTTGGAAGCATTTTCAGCACAAGCACTGATCATCAGGTGCTTCAGGGATTGGGTTTTGTTTATCTTTATGCTACAGCATACAGTGACATTTTAGAGAACTGTGTTAGAGAACTGCAGCACTGTGGCAGCAGTTTGGGGAAGGCTGTTTCAGCAGGGCAGTGCCCCTCTTTCACAAAGTGAGCTCCATAAAGACATGGTTTGGTGAGTTCGGTGTGGATTAACTCAACTGGCCTGCACATCCAGTACCTTAGGGATGAACTGGAATGCTGACTGTGAGTCAGGCCTTATCACCAAAAATCAGTGAGTGTGTGACCTCACTAGTGCTCTTGTGGCTGAATAGAATCATTGTTGCAATATCTGTTACTGAAACAAACTTCATATTAAAGGTGGTTTTGGAAAGAGATTTTCAGTATAGATGTGAAGCCTGGATGCTCACAGACTTTAGTGTAGGTGCAAGAAATAAGCTGGCCAGGTGGTGTAGACTGTGCTTTAGTTAGTACTGTCTTTGGCATGTATTTCTAACCTCTTCTCTTTGTATGTTTGGTAAAATGTCTTTTTTCTCAGCGGAATGCGTCACTGTACTCCAGTGAGGTGAAGGAAGCTTTCCTCCAGGCAGCTCTAGTGAGAGGTGGGCTGTCCTCTGCAGCACTGCCTGATTCAGAAGTGCTGCAGTGGGTGAATGTTCGGCTCAGGCCCCTCCTCTCCAGCCTCTCCTCTGCCGATGTAACACCATACTTCAACATCATCAGAGGCAGAAGCTGCAACCTCATCCAGACAGCGTAAGAAATTCTTTAAATACCGTATTTGGATTTGGCAGATTTAATGCAGTGTTTCATTTCTGCTGATTGTTTAGAGCTCATGTGTTTAGCGTTGTGTAGCGTGACTGATGAACTTCTTCCTGTGCTGTAACAGAGTGAGCAGTTTGGACTCTCTGAGATCATCTTTCAACAGCGACACACAGACCCAGATCTTCAGCAACATCCAGCAGCTCCTCACTGGTATAACATGCACACTCTCATGCTCACAGAGTGCAAATTAAAAAATGTAAATACACACTGTTTTGATTGTTTTGTCGCTGTTTTATGTTCCACAGGGCCAAATGGTCTGCATTGCTATAGCGGCGGAAGCTTCTATGTCTTCCTCAAGAACTCCTTCCTTAGTTTTGGATTTCCTGACCTGAGTACCCTTTTGTCATTAATACCAGCCAGTCGACAGCAAGAGGTACTTACGTCTAGGTATCAGCTAGAAGTACAGCTGAAGAGTAGGCCTTTTACAGTCATTACACAATCACCTGATCGCAGTTACTTTTTTGTCCCACAGTTGTTAGCTTTCAAAATTATACATTTACATTTCAAAACAAACCGAATGGCAGTGGACCCATCTGGAAAAAAAAATATTTTTGTAAATTTGACATACATGTAAAAATACATTGCAGTCCATAATAAAAAACATTCTAAATACTAAAATGAATTTCATAATATATTGCAGTATTAACCAAATACATTTATTTTAAAATGTATGAAGGAATATTATACATATAAATGCACCATACAAAAATAAATGTGTGAGAAATACATTTCTCAAATACTTTTGAACATGTATGAAAACAGCCAGAATCCTGTCTAATGCACTTTATTGTTTGATACCTTTTGAAATGAATTTGTGTTCCAGTATCTTAATTTTAAAAATGATCAAATGGTCCTTTAACATGACAGAAGCGAGTGTTGTAGGTATTGATACTGTGTGAAAATACAGTTATGATTTGATGTCTTGTTTAACTCAAATACATTGTGTGTGAGTGTCTTACTGCATATGTACATAGTTAATATAAAGTACAATGCAGATCACAGGAGTTTAGTTAAATCTGTAACCTTTATTTTATATATATATATATATATATATATATATATATATATATATATATATATATATATATATATAACTGAAAAGTGTAATAACATATACACAAATGCATTTTAAAAACATATTTAACAATGACATGTTTTGGCCATTTTTATGCATTGCAAAAATACCTTTGATAAACATGTTTAGAATGTATTCTTTCCATAGGGGAGTGAGCCTTCATCAGTTAGTTTGATGGAAATATGTGTAAATAATGTCACACGTCCTAAAAAAACACCAAAAGTTCTAACAGGTGCACAGCCACCTTTAGAGGGCAGCAGTGAGCAGAGCTTTGTTGGTTAGGAGGTACTAAATATTGACAGCTTGGAAGCAAGATAGCAAATTTGACCACATTAACCTTTACTTTAATGTAAACCTTTAATAGTTGCATAATATGAACAAATAGAGAAAGTTAAATTGTTAATCACAGTTATTGCTATGGCAATTAATTGTCAGGTAAAATTTCATGACTGTGACAGGCCATCAATATTATACTGAATAAATCACCTACAAATACTGCTAGTGCCTAAGACAATCAATGGATCCCTCAGTAGTACTAATAATTAGTAATCTAGATTGTGAGTCCATTGTTAATATAGCCAAAAATAATTGTAAAATTGATAATTACTAATACAATAAAATCATCCTCTAATACAATCTACCAGAAGGAACATTCTATAAATCATTCAGTGATACTGCTAGTCAGTAATACAAATGCAAATGAGTCATTCCTATTACTGTTACTAATGTGGCCATGAGAAACTGTCAGCAATGGTGAGACTGAGTTGACTGAGTTGCTCTCCTCTCTGCTCTGTAGCTGTTGGGCTCCATCTCTCCAGGAGAACTGAGCAAGTTTCTAAATGGCCCAAACACAGTCAGGAATGGGTCAGATCTCTGCACACTCCTCAACAACTACAACAGCACCAACCAGTACCTGGAGACGGTACAGCTGTGTCCTTTTTCATTCATTCATTTCTGCTGTTTCTCACTCAGTTTAAGTCTCTGCAGCGACCCATATGTAAATCTCTCTTTTCTGTCTCTTTCTCTCTTTTTCCTCCCTCTGTTTCTCTGTGCAGCAGCCAGTTGGATCTGCAGCTGTGGGCAGACAGACCTTGGGGTGCGTTTGGTCTCGTGCTCTCAGCGCCTCATCTCAGGATGAGGTGGCTCAGTGGTTTAATGTAAGACTGGCTCAGTACCTGCCCCTCCTCAGCTCTCAGCTCATCAGCCCCACCCAGCTTAGCGGCGCATCCTGCCTGTCATACAGGAAACTGTGAGTCTTTGTTTGGTGTAGCGTCAAACTGTTCTCTTAGCACAAAAAAAAACTTTTTTTTTCTGTAAAATAGTTCAGTGAAATTACTCATCATTGTATTTTGTGAGCAGGGTTTCAATCCTGGGGAACAACTATAATTTCTCAGCCACTGATTTTACTCCAGCTGTTGTGTACAGCTCTATAAAGGCTTATCTGAACAGCAGTGGTAAGCACAGCTACATTACTGTATGTTTTATTTTGCACATATTTACATTCATGTATGTGTCTATATGTGTATTTCTGTGGTATCTTGCAGGTGGGACTCCCCGCTGCTATAACTCCTCTGATCCCCTTCTGAACTCCACTGCTTGGTTTGCCAACAACATTGGATTCTTCATCACCTTCATCTCCCTCACTGACCTCCAGTCCTTCGTATCAAGCAGCCAGGTAACACACAGACATAGTTGCACACTTATGCCGATACCTGATCTTCAAGCATTCACCAATACTGATACTAACTCTATCCAACCTAATAGGCCTATACATCCTGATATTTACACAAATGCACTTTTTAAATATTTTATTTTGGCAAAAACTGTTTTATTTGTTCTGTGTCACAAATAAAACATGTCAAGTGTGACAATGGTGATTCATACGTCGTGTACAATCGCATAAGACTCTACTGGAGTTCAATAAATACTACTGTCATTACTGCCTGTTTGGCGCAATGTATTTATGAGTCAAGCCTCAAACCAGAAAAAGTTGATATTCTGGTCTGAATTTTAATTAATAGAATATAATCACAATTCAAATCGAGGCTACAATAATAATCTGAAAAATTGTAATTTGATATCCTTCCCAAATCATTCACCCAAAGTATGCTAAGTCTGATTGTGGCTCAAGGTCTCAACAACTCCCTCTTACATCTGTTTAAAAGTAAACATTTTATAAACACACTTCTTTCATTTAAAATAAATCAAAAAGTGACTACTGCATTGAAATCACTAAAGCACCACCATTCATTATGAATGAGATCAGAGATGATGAGGGCAGACTTTTCCTCATCATACTATCATTACACCAAGAGACTGACTGTTCCTTCCAAACATCTCTCTAACATTCACGCCCTTAATAAAACCTGGACTAACATTAACTCAAGTGAGTAGTACACAACAGCAGATGAGGGATTACTAAAACATCCCAGACTGACATTCAGCTACAGGGAATAACATTTGACCAGTGATTTGTAATGTAGGTCAGCTCATTCGTGGCAAACTGTAATACTTTAAGAAGAATTCTAACCAATATACCTCCCACTACTAGCTCCCCCCTAAAATACCGGCAATATTTTTTAATGAACATTTTTACTACTGCTTGCCATCCCACACCACCGCTGTGCCACTGCTTCAGGTCCATCTGTGTGCACCTAATTGCACATGTGTGTCAGAAAGTGCCTCATCATATCTGTATTCTCTATTGCAGATACTGATACCATGTTTAAGTGCCAGTATCAGAACTGATGCCAATATAGTAATGTTATTGGTGCAACACTACTTATACCTTACTGAGTCTGACTGTCTTCTGTAGATTGGTGTGTTCCTGGTAAACTCAGAGAATCTTCAGCTTTTTAACAACTCAGGGATTTCATCCAACGTCACCACATACTACGGCACACAGCTATACATCCAGAATCCTAACCTCAGTCCCCTCAGGTACCACACTACACCCTAAATACTACAGTTATACATCCAGAATCCTAACCTCAGTCCCCTCAGGTACCACACTACACACTAAATACTACAGTTATACATCCAGAATCCTAACCTCAGTCCCCTCAGGTACCACACTACACACTAAATACTACAGTTATACATCCAGAATCCTAACTTCAGTCCCCTCAGGTACCACTCTACACACTAAATACTACAGCTATACATCCAGAATCCTAACTTCAGTCCCCTCAGGTACCACACTACACACTAAATACTACAGTTATACATCCAGAATCCTAACCTCAGTCCCCTCAGGTACCACACTACACACTAAATACTACAGTTATACATCCAGAATCCTAACCTCAGTCCCCTCAGGTACCACACTACACACTAAATACTACAGCTATACATCCAGAATCCTAACTTCAACCCTCCCAGGATCCATAATATACAACAAACATTTTGTCAACCACACAGAACCTGTCCTTCGATTCTCTTATGTTTATTGCCACACATATTATCTGTTTACTTGTTCAGTCGTTTACCTGTTTATGTTTGTGTGTAGTTTGCCAGGTGTCCTCCTGTGTGGAGCTCCTGGTTCTGCATTTGTGTCTCTGAATGCTACAGACAGTCAGACAATCCTGGACAGCCTCAAGAAATCCTGCCAACAAATTAGTCCAGAGGTAAATCGATCAGTTAAGCTAATTTTCTCACCATTTGTGTTCTATAATCAGTCATTCTGTAATAGTGTGAGTTACCCATAATCCTCCTCTTCACTCAGGCCACAGCAGCTCTTGTGGCAAACTTCCCCACTTTGTCCACGGAAACCATCAAGTCGCTCGGCAACCAGAGCATTGGTCTGAGTGAGGGCCAGATAAGCGATGCTATCCCCAATATCATTAACAGTACCCTGCCAGTACTCAGCGTCATCACAGGCTGGAACCAGGGTCAGGTCAACAACATCATCCAGAGCATCACTAACGCTGGCTTCACTGTGAGTGTACATTACACACTAGACACTACACACTGCCATAATGCTTCATTATAATCCTGGAACCAGGGCCAGTGCAGTGCTCTCATTTAGAGCACCCACTTTTAAAGACATTACATTTATTGTATACAATGCAATACACTCTATGAGCAAGGCCAGGTCAACTCTATAATTACACCATACATTTGTGTTATTCATTCATTCATTTGTTCATCATCTTAAACATGAACTTGATCCAACTAGGATCACGGTAGCAGTAAGGAAAGGAGAGAACTTTTAACATTTTAGTGTAGAAAGTTTGTACAACCTTGTTTTCAAAACAGGTGGAACATTGCGCAAAATGTAAATAAAAACAAAATGCAATGATGTGCAAATTATTTAAAATCTTGCATTTAATTGAATGCTCTGAGATGGACAGGTGACCTGTCCAGGGTTTTTTCTGCCTTCTGCCCAATGACCGCTGGGATAGGCTCCAGCTTCCCCCTGAGACCCAGGAGGATAAGCGGCTTAGAAAATATGTGTGTTTGTGTATTTACAACCCCAATTCCAAAAAAGTTGGGACGCTGTGTAAAATATATATAAACGTAGTTAAAAATCTCATAGACCCATATTTTATTCACAGTAGAACACAGTACACATATCAGAAGTGAGACATTTTACAATTTCGTGAAAAACATTAACTCATTTAGAACTTGATGGCAGCAACACATCTCAAAAAAGTTGGGACAGAGCCATGTCTACCATTGTGTAGCATCCCCTCTTCTTTTAACAACATTCTGTAAACATCTGGGAAGTGAGAAGACAGATTGCTGGAGTTTTGGAAGAGGAATGTTGCCCCATTCTTGTCTGATGTAGGATTCTAGCTGCTCAACAGTTCTGGGTCTTCTTTGCCGGATTTTGCATTTCATGATGTGCCAAATATTTTCTATTGGTGAAAGGTCTGGACTGCAGGCCGGTCAGTTCAGCACCTGGACTCTTCTTCTGTGAAGCCATGCTGTTGTGATGGATGCAGTATGTGGTTTAGCATTGTCTTGCTGAAATATGCAAGGCCTTCCCTGAAAGAGACGCTGTCTGGATGGGAGAATATGTTGTTCTAAAACCTCTATATACTGTTCAGCATTGATAAAGCCTTTCCATATGTGTAAGCTGCCCATGCCATATGCACTAATGCAACCCCAGACCATCAGAGATGCAGGCTTTTAAACTGTGTGCTGACAACAAGCTGGATGGTCTACAGGATGCAGTGTCCGTGGTTTCCAAAAAGAATTAAAAATTTTGATTCATCTGGCCACAGGACAGTTTTCCATTTTGCCTCAGTCCATTTTAAATGAGCTTTGGCCCAGAGAAGACGGCGGCGTTTCTGGATTGTGTTGACATATGGCTTCTTCTTTGCATGATACAGCTTTAACGTGCATTTATGGATTGCACAGTGAACGGTGTTCACAGACAATGATTTCTGGAAGTGTTCCTGAGACCATGCAGTGATTTCCAGTACAGAATCATGCCTGTTTTCAATGCAGTGCTGCCTAAAGGGGCCCGAGGATCACGAGTATCCAATATTGACCGTTGGCCTTGTCCCTTGTGTACAGGGATTTCTCCAGATTCTCTGAATCTTTTGATGATATTATGTACTGGAAATGGTGGGATATCCAAAGTCTTTGCAATTTTATGTTAATTGGTCAACAATTTATAAATGCAGTTTTTATCAGATTGGTGAACGTTTGCCCATCTTTGCTTCTGAGAGCCTCTCTAAATTGCTCTTTTTATACCCAGTCATGTGAGTTAGTTGCAAATTGCTCCTCCAGCTGTTTTTTATTACTACCACCTACTTTTCCAGCCTTTTGATGCCCTTGTCCCAACTTGCTGCCATGAAGTTCAAAATGAGTTAATATTTTTCATGAAATGGTAAAATGTCTTAATTTCAACATGTGATATGTGTTCTATGTTTTATTGTGAATAAAATATGGGTCTAGGGAATTTGCAAATCATTGTAAATTTTATTTACATTTTACAAAGCATCTAAATCTTTTTGGAATTAGGGTTGTAATTGAAATAGTACAAAGGAAAGTCAAAAGTTGAAACTAGGACATTTTTTGTGTTCATTTTGAATATCATTCCAGCAACATGTTTCAAAAAATTTGGGACAGTGGTAACAAAAGACTGGCAAAGTTTTGTAATGCCAAAACAACACCTGGTTGAACATCTCACAACTAATTAGGTTACTTTGTCACTGTATTAAAAACAGACACAATTCTGTTGGGGAAATCACTGCATGGGATCAGGAACACTTCCGAAAACCACTGTCTGTCAACGCAATTTGTCATTCCATGCTCGAATGCACTCTACTATGCAAATCATATATAAACAGGATCCAGAAACACCGTCGCCTTCTCTGGGCCTGAGCTCATTTAAGATGTATGTTTTAGGGAAGTCCTTTATTAGTCGTTTATTTCAGCAAAATAATGTCAAACCACATTTTGCACATATTACAAACGCATGGCTCAGTAGTAAAAGAGTCTGAGTGCTAAACTGGCCTGCCTGCAGTCCAGACCTGTCAGCCACTGATGACATTTGGTGCATTATGAAATGAAAAATACAACAAAGGAGATCCTGAACTGTAGAGTAGCTGAAATCCTGCATCAAGGAAGAACAGGAAACCTCTTTCAAAACTACAGCAGTGTCCCAACTTAGTAAGCTCAAAACCAGATTCTGCACAGTAGACACACTCTGCCAGCCCTTTTTGTACACATTTCAGGGATAATATACATACTATCATGTTGTGTTAAACCAGAAATAATCACTAATCCTTTAGTTTAAGTGCTGTACTTTAATCGCCCTCAGATATTTTAGTTTGATCTTTTGTACCATTAGATGAATAAATTTGTTAAACTTCAGACTACTGTAAGCTAATACCACAAGTGTAGAAGAATTACTAGACAGGCTGGGTACATAGAGACCTTTGTGGCCCTGGGCACACTCATCAAAGGCATTCTCTCATGCAAAAGATAATGGGTTCTGAATGTAGATCGGGTGTGGATCTGCAGTGAGCAGACAGAAGAGGGGCTGTGTCAGTGTCAAGTAGAGCTGAAATTGCCAATAAAGTATCAAGTAAAAGTTGGCACACCCTTGTTATTTGGCCAGGAAAGAAGCACATGGACCTTGTAGTCCTCCATACAAGCCCCTTCTTGGGTCAGTTACATACCTGAGATAAGAGACTATTGTTTGGTGTAACTAACAGTTCTCTGCATTAAATAACAAGCGGTTCTCCAGGACATGCTCTGGCACTGACATGAAACATGTATTACAATGGAGAGAAATCATTAACTAATGATCGGAATGCAGGGTGACAGTCTAGCAATTGAACTTCAGTTTTAAGTTCAATGTGCAAAGCCAAGGCAATGATTTGTTGTGTATATATTGCTCAAGCTTATAGATACATACTGTAATTCCTCATGACTTTGGTTCTGAATTTGGGTTTGTGGATTTCTTTAACACTCCTTTTTAACTGGGTGGTTGGTAGATCAACACTGGCACCTCCCTGGTGACTCTGGGCACGCTTGTCGGAGGTGTTCCCTCAGCAACCATCTCTAAAATCCCATCCACTGAGCTTCTCACCGTGTCCCAGAATCCAACGTTCATCACCAACATTCTGACAGCCCCAGTGATCCTTCAAGAAACATACGTACAGAAGGTACTCACAAATACACACATTTACAAATTGCATAAAACACCTTTAACTCCAGTGATTCTGAGACACACATGGAAGGAAAATGCAACCAAAACAGTTTGAACTGCCATTTGTTTCTCTATAGAGAACATTTTTGATGAACGGATTAAATATGACTCAAAGCTGAAACCTTTGTAAAACAGTCATTGTGCATTTATGTAAGTACAGTAGTTAAAATGTAATATAAATAAAATACAAATACAAAATGTAATACAAATAAAATGTAATTTTTTAATGAGAAATATAACGTAAATGAAAGAACAATTAAATCATAAAACCCATGGCTCAGTGTCGGTGCCACTTTCTGGGATGAGGATCAATGATGTTATCAGCATGACAGACTTTAACTCATAATGCATATATTGCTGTGTTTTTATGACAATCATTTAGAACATTGATATAATGTCTGGGGGCAACAGAGCATATTGTGTTGTACAACATGTAATTTGCATCTCTTCCAGTTCATTGTGAGCCAGTCTTCCAAACACAAATAGTAGGGAGCAATAGGCTTATGATATCATGTGCGGTATTGTCTGATCGCATGCCCTAGTCATCCTGATTGACAGTACTATCGTGGACGGTTAGGGGAGGGAGTGAGCAGGGAGTTTTTCATATACAGAAAAGGAAAATCTGCTTTCCATTGCCACCAGCATGCCATCTGAACTTGTTTTGAGTGCACACAGAAAATGGAGCCATAAACACAGACTGCAGAATAATGGTCATCTTACTCCAGTAACCCATTTCAGCACAGCATGTTAAGTTGTGACACCATACTTTCCACCATGCCTGCTTAACCTGGAGAAAATAAACAGGCTTTCTGGCCAAAAACCTGTAAACTAACTTTTTTGTTCTCTGTATGTATGCTTTGGTAGCTCTTGGTGTGAGTTGGTTGTTATTGGTATGACTTAGTAGTTTGTAGTTTGTAGTTTGGGTTGGTAATTCATTATTTTTCATTATTTGGTTTGGTAGTTTTTGGTATGGTTTAGTAGTTCTTGGTTTGGTTTGGTAGTTCTTGAATTGGTTTGGTTTAGTAGTTCTTGGTTTGGTTTGGTATTTTTTGATTTGGTTCGGTAGTTTTGTGGATTGATTTGATAGTTTTTGGTATGAATTGATTTGGTAGATCTTGGTTTGGTAGTTCTTGGTATGGTTTAGTAGCTCTGTGTACAGTTTAATTGTTCTTGATTGGTGTAGTAGTTTCTGATATGGTTTGGTAGCTCTTGGTATAGTTTATTGGTTTTAATATGGTTTGATAGTTCTTGATATGGTGTGGTAGTTTTTGGTATGGTTTGGTAGTTCTTGGTATGGTTTGGAAGTTCTTCATATGGTTTGATTATTCTTGAAATAGTTTGCTAGTTCTTGATATGGTTTAGTGGTTCTTGATATGGCATGGTAGCTCTTGGTATAGTTTATTGTTCTTGATATGGTTTGGTAGCTCTTGATATGCTATTGTATTTCTTGGTATGGTTTGGTAGTTTTGGTGTGGTTTGTTAGTTTTTGTTGTAGGTTTGATAAAACCTATGTGTATAGCCTATGAATCACTTCTTGTTAAAATAATAAAATAGTTCAAGTGTAACCATATGAAATAGCCTAAAGATTACTGTTTCTGTAGTTATGGAGCTTTTTTGTTGTAACAACTAATGTAATTATATGATATAATCCTTTTGTCGAAGGCTGCAGCATGATTTTATCAGTTTAACAAGCATGATGACAAGTAGAATAAAAAAATTGATGTCGTACTGCTACAGAATGTTCTAAAGCCAGACTACATTTCAGGGTTCATTAAAGACTCACATTATAAATGAAACAAAAACCTTTTAAAAGAAAACACATTGTGAAACTTTTTCATCTTAAATCTGCAAGTAATGTGTTTTCAGACATTTAAATTGTCCAACTCATTCACAATCGCGATTGATGAGAACTGGTGATACTAGCATTAAGGGTCAAGCCTCAAGCCTAGGGGGTGCTCTGGCCACTTTTCTTTTAAGTTAACTGTAAAACAAAATTCAACCAAAATTTAAGCAAAATTTAATCAGTCAGTTCTTCTCCCACCTTGTCTTCCAGATTATTTCCATAGATCAGACTAAAGTGGTAGAGAATGTCCCAGATGCATTGGCAGGATATATCCCACCTGTGCTACTGTCATCTCCCACCTCTGTTAATGTCGCACTCATCAACAAGAAAAGCTGGAGACAAGAACAGGTAACAGAAAGTATTCATGATGCATCGTTTTTGGAGCGATGATGTAAGCAGGTCCAAATGTAAGTATGAAAGATCTTATGAATGTTTAAATGTCTTTTTGTTTGTTCTCTTTTTACTAGGCTGTGGTGTTGTTCAGCTCAGTGGCCAGCGCCAGTGACAATACAGAAGAGTGAGTGAACGCAAGCAAAGCAGAAAATGCACGATACTTCCATTGTCCAATCACACTGGACATTTACATAATATTTTCAGTGCTAAAAAATACAGGTTTGTAGGTGTTAAATGTGTGTGTATCTCCTCCTGCAGGCTGTCAGAGTCGATATTACAGGGATTCACCTGCAGCTGCAGTTCAGAATCTACCACGGTCAAAAGTCACACAGCTGGTAAAAGCCTGTAGACCACGTGATGGCAGGAACAAGGTCGTCCTGAAAGAGTCCCAGGTACGCACAGTCTGACTCACTCAGCTCAGGTACAGTAGGATTTTTAGTAACTATCGCAGAATATATAACCCCATTTCCAAAAAAGTTGGGACGCTGTGCAAATTGTAAACAAAAATAGGATGCAATGACATGCAAATCATGTAAACCATCATTTTAAAGGAAAATACTACAAAGACAACAAATCAAATGTTGAAACTGAAAAATTTGATTGCTTTTTTTAAATATATGCCCATTTTTAATTTGATGCCAACAACACCAAAAAAAGTTGGGACAGGGTCATGTTTACCACTATGTTTCAATTGCCTCTCCTTTTGTGTTTGGGAACTGAGGAGACCAATTGCTGTAGTTTTGAAAGTGAAATGTTTTCCCATTCTTGTTTGACATAGGATTTCGGCTGCTTAACGGTTCGGGGGCTCATTTGTTTTGCAAATTTTTCATTTCATAACCCTCTAAATGTTTTCAATGGGTGACAGGTCTGGACTGCATGGAGGCCAGTTTTGCTCCCAGACTCTTTTAATACAGAGCAATGCTGTTATAATACATGCAGGATGTGGTTTTACATCGTCTTGCTGAAATAATCAAGACCTTCCCTGAAAAAGACGTCGTCTGGATGGCAGCATACGTTGCCAAAGCCTGTATATATCATTCAGCATTAATGATGCCTTCACAGATGTGCACGTCACCCATACCATGTGCACTAATGCACCCCTATACCATCATGAATACTGGCTTTTGAACTGTGCACTGATAACAAGCTGAGTGGTCTTTAGCCCGGAGGACGCAGTGTCCATGGTTTCCAAAAAGAATTTCAAATTTTGATTTGTCAGGCCACAGGACACTTCACCACTTCACCTCAGTCCATTTTTATTGATAAAAATGATAATTTTTTCATGTTATTATGTACTGTAGATGATGAAAAGCAAAAGTTCTTTGCTATTTGTGACAATGGGTCTGTTCCCAAACTTCCTCGCTGCATCTCATCCAGTCATCCACTGCCTGAATGTCAGAGGGAGTAGCAGTCCAAGGTGCTAGTGGGGGCTGGTTTCCTAATCAACACAGGAAAGGAGTGAGTTGTGTAGAAGAACTGATTAATGAATTTTGGGTGATCTCAGGTACTTAGACCAGGCTAGCGTTATTAAGACAGAATGCCTTCAGAAATTTACTCCTGACCAATGTGCTTGCCTGGTGTTAAGGCTTTTGGCAGTGTGGAGATATTCTTGTGATAAGTAAGGACTATAAATGGATGAGTAGCACCCTTCAGCCAATGGCACCACTCCTCAAGGGCTAGTTTGACTGCTAATACTTTGTGGTCACCGATGCCCTAATTACATTCTGCAGGTGAGAGCTTTTGTGAATAGAAAGCAAAAGGGAACAACTTCTCTGGTGTACCATTACATTGGGGTAGAACAGCACCTACTTTGGTCTCAGAGGCATCTACTTCTACCACAAATGGATTGGAGGGATCAGGGTGTTTGACTGGGGACTGACGTGAAAGCGGTCTTGAGATTCTGAAAGCCCATCTCAGCAGCTGGGGTCCAAAGCAGATTCTTGGATGCTCCTTTGAGGGGAGCAGTCTGTCTCATCCTAGTAACGCCCTCAGCACTAATGATGTAACCTAGAAACGAAACCTGCTGTATATGAAATTCATATTTTTCTCCCTTAACAAACAAATTATTGTCTGAGACATTGAAGTACATGATGGTTGACATGAGTGTCGAAATTCAGAGAATAAATCAAAATGTCATCAATGTAGAAAAAACATTGACAAACTGACCAGCGAGATCCCTGAGAACATTGTTGATGAATGACTGGAAGACAGAGGGGGCATTAGAGAGCCCAAAGGCATTATGAGGTAATTGTAATGCTCTCTAGTGGTGATGAAAAGCATCTTCCATTCGTCACTTTGTTTTACTCAGACCAAATTTTAAGCACTACAAAGATCAAGTTTAGTGAAATACTCAGCACCTCTAAGTTGTTCTAGTGCATTGGGAATCAGTGGCAAAGGGTAGGCGAATTTTACTGATATTTTGTTAAGAGCATGGTAATCAGTACATGGTCGAAAACTCTCCCTTTTTTTGACAAAAAAATATCCCTGACGCGACGGGAGAAGCTGATGGACGAATGAAGCCCTGGGCTAGAGCCTCAATGTTATGTTTTCCCATAGCTTTCTCTTCCTCTTGAGTTAAGGGGTAAACTCTGGCTTTGGGCAAAGTAGCTCCCTCTTTAATATCTATAGCACAGTCATAGGAAAGATGAGGAGGGAGTTTTGTGGCATTCTTTTTGCTAAAGACCTCAGCCTCAGAATATTTGGGGGGAATGTGAGTGACTTGTGAGGTTTCGGGGCTTTCTGTGGATGTGGACATGATCTTAAGTTCAGGGGTTGTTAGACACTGTTAGACACTGGGAAATTTGAGGATCATGTTGCTGGAGCCAGGGAAGACCTAATATAAGGGGGAATTCAGATGGGTCTAAGAATAAAAAGGGTACTTGTTCTTTGTGGAAGAAGCTTGTTTCTAACTGAAGGAGTTCTGTGACGAAGGAGATCGAGTCCAGTCCAATGGGTCCTTCATCCAACACAGCAATTTTCATGGGTGTACGATGATCCTTGACTGGAATCTGCTGTTGGGCCACCACATTAGCATTGATGAAGTTTCCTTTGGCTCCAGATTCCATAAGAGCTGAAATGACAAGAGAAGACTGATGGTGGCATATGACAACAGGCAGGAGAACAGACTTCGAAACCAACCCCTTTGTGGGAACATTCACCACATTAGCGCATGAATGAAAGTCCATGCTCTTTCCCAGGGTTGGCACCTGAGGCCTGTGTGGCTGAGCCCGACACTCACACAGAATGTGACAACTGCGCCACAGTACATGCACAGGCCTCCATATAAACGATGAAGCATCTCCTCTCTGCTCAGCCTGGACAAATCACACTGCATGGGTTCAAGAGATGATCTGGAACTGGAACCGGAACTGGTACTGGAACTGGCGCCGGACAGGAAGCTGGAACTGGAATGAGACTGGAACTGGTGTTGGAACTGGAGTGGAGACTAGAACAGGAGCTGGAGTTTACATATGTGTGAAGAGAACCATTTTAACAATAGCTGATGAAGGCAGATAGACAGAAATTCAAATTGTCATTCTTGCATGAGGCAAAACATCAGGATTGAGTTCACTACAAAAAGTCACCAAGAGTGCGGGCTCATTCCATCCATTGCCTGCATCCACAGTGCGAACCTCTGAAGTGTAGTCTGCCACCGAGCAGCTACCCTGTTTCAGCTTGCACAAAAGTTCTCCTGGAGTATAGCCATCATGAGGATGGTCAAAGACTGTCTTGAAATCCTTAAAAAAGTATTCATAAGACAGACTTTGAAGATGAGACCACCCAGCAGTGGCCTACTCTAGTGCTTTATCAGATAAACGGGCAATGTAGCAAAAAAATCAACATTTGTTGAGGGAACCATTGAATTTATTGGGCTTACTGACTGGATAAACATTGATGGTAAAGGTCTCCGTAGTTGGACAGACTGGAGCAGATACAGAGGTGAGCAAACAAAAAGGTTACACAGTTGAGGTGAAATGTCCTTAATACCAGTTAAAAGCTGAGCGAGCTGGGCCTGCTGTTCAGCTTGTTGGTGAGTGATGTCTTCAACAGACTGAGTAAGCCCTGCCAATACCTAATGGTGATGTCCCAGAAGCTGACCTTGGTTGGTTAAAATCCTCTGAACTGCCACAATGTTTGCTGTGTGCATGATGGCGAAGTATCCTGTAACGGTGGCAGATGAACACTCGCAGATGAGGCGGCAGTTAACATCTTTAATAAAAATGGGATGATCCAAAATCATCCAGAGCAACTTACTTAAGCTGCACTAATATTATTGGTTCAAATTAGAGCTCTATAATAGTTACAGTTTGAGTCTCAGCAGTGGCAAAGTCATCTAATGCAGGGCGTTCTGTTTTGTAGCTGACCTGCATGTACAATTACGTGAAAGATGAATCATCTCTGACCTTCACTGACTTTCCTGCTGACATGCTTCTCTACTACAGGTGGGTAATACAAACTCACGAACAATGATTTAAAGTAAACTCAGTTGTAACAAATTGTAAATAAAAAAACAAGATTGTAGTTATCAAGAAAGAAAGTAGTCAAGATTGAAGTCAACTAGTTTTAACTATGAATGCATTCTTTAATGTATTAAAGTTTATTTGAGGTGTGACACCACTGCTAGTCATTAAAATGCTTATTTCATTCCAGAGAAAGGATTTTAAAGAACTGATTAAAATCTCATTCTATTATTGTTGTAGGTCAGAAAAACACTATTCACTGTTCTGTTAAAACAGTTTAGGTCCTTTTGTAGTGTATAATCTAACATAAATCCAGGTAAGCAGTATATTGTCTGTAACATCCTTCAGAACAGGTTTAGAAATGAACACTTGGCCGGACCTGATTGATAGAGAGTGGGCAGAGCTAAGTTGTGAGTGGAAGTAAACTGACGAAACACACTAAAATAAACTTAACTGTCTAGTTTTGACATTTTTTGCGATTAGCATTTAGAAGATGTTATAGATGCAATTTATTCAAAAATCTGAAAAATGATGAAATGGTCATTTCTGCCTGTAGCATCCAGCCTTATATGATTAGGAATGATTTGGTTTACAGAGGCGCCTCAGTCATTCAATACTAATACATATACTTAGAATAACATCTTCCTAAATAGCACTTGTAAAAAACATTTTAAACCTAATTTTGTAAATATGTTTTCTGTAAGTCATTTACATTTAGAAAAAGATCAAAGAAATAGTGGAATATTGTCTTTGTAATCAAGTCCAACATAAGCTGACAGGTTTAGGATGTTTGTGTGCTTAATCAGCTCAAACAATGTCTTTGTGTGTGTTGTAGCCTTGGGACACTGACGAGTGTGAACTGTGAGTCGTATTTCAGAGCTCTGGGTGGAGCAGATTTCTCGGTCCTCTCCAGCATCCTTAACAGACAATCCGCCTTGTTCATGACTGCAAAGGACTGCCTGGTAAAACATACGCCTATGCACACACAGTATCTATGCAAAAATGGAAAAAAGTCATTTTATTATACAAAAACAAGAAGGTGGCTGTTGCACACTTAATGGTACTGAAAGATTAAGGGGACCTATTATGTTTGTCTGCATTTCCATTTCCTTTAGTGTGTTGTAGCTGTTTGTGCATGTAAACAGTCTGCAAGGTCACAAAGGTCAAAGTTCCCTGCAGAAGGGCTTACCTACAGAAACCACTTTTCTCAGCTATTCTAGAAAGCCAAAATAAATATATGAACATTGAAAATGATCATAAGAGGTTCCCTTTAAGGCACATTAAGTCAAGCTATGGAATGACTGGTAGTGGTACATTTCTATTCAGGTGGCAACACAAGGAAGGTAATATACCAGTTATACTGTGGTATACAAAAGTTTGAATATCTTTAGTCCTTTAAAGAGAACAACATAAATATGGAATTTCTCTGGAAATGTTAGTGCACAATTTCAGTTTATTTATGTATTGGAAAAAGGATAGAATGTACCATAACTTTGCACAGGCCACATTATGTAAAATGTAGCAAATAAAATGTAATTGTGCATAAAATGTGCAGAAACATGTCATTTGACCAGGAGCGCCCAAATTTTGCATTTTAATTTATCAAAAGTCTAATGAAGTTCACAATGGTAAATTTGCATGTATTCATTTGGCAGACACTTTTATCCAGAGCAACTTGAAAGCCACACAGAGTTCTAAAAGACAAGAGTCCACGTAAATGTAGACCTTGATGACAAATAATAAGTGATAAATGATCCGTTTTAAAAAATAACCAAATGATAAACATAAATGTTAAATGTAGAAATTTGCTTAAATGATGAAAGGGTAATGAGCTCCGAAAGGTGTTAGCTTGGGAATTGTGAGCAGAGGTAAGTCTTCAGACCATAATCAAAGAAAGAAAGATTGTGCAAATTTAAATGGAGATATAATATCAGTAATACTAAATGACAAAGCATATGCTTGGTCACAAAATGCCATACCAGGTGTACAACATTGAGTGGTCTTTGGCTGGGTTACATTGTGGCATGAATTGACATTGAAAATTGGAACATTATTATGTAACACAGCATATGTATCACAGTCAGAAATAGTATGTCCAGACCATGCTAGTCCTCTGGATACACTTATCGGTTGCGGGATACAAACATATTGTTCTGGAAGCAATGTTTGTCTTTTGATGAACAAAGACTGAAAAGTGTTGTCACTATCTACATTAGAGACAGGACTACCCAAAAAATGGTGTGTATGTAGCGAACAAAATGAAAGTCCTGAAAACAAAGTTCAGATTTATTTTGATCATCTTCGTCATCTGAGAGTTGGTAAAGTTTCTGTCTCTGATGTCTTAATGATGAGACTGATGATATTGTCTCTGTAGAGCACTCAGATGGTCATCAGTTAGTAGAACTGGAAGTATTCCTGGCTAGTATAGGTTGTGGGGTTCTTGGAGGTCTTTTGGCAGCTGTAAAACACAAAAATACCATCAACAGTACCTTGCTGTCATAGTAACTACTGAGAACATACTTGGGGATATTTGCTCTAATATTGTATTCTGTGCCACCAGTCTGACCCTACCTCACCTTTTGGGTCCTAAAGTCCTAACTTGAAGTGTGGAGATGATAGTTGTCATTTTGGGGAACGGGATATCTTCCCTTTGGGGATCACCCCTGCGTCCAACCAGACAACAGTTCTCCCCCAATCCCTTCCATGTAGGCCACCCATGGATCCCTAATTAAGGAGGTGGTACAATTTTACAATGTGAAGCATATGTCCATACTTTACAACCTTGACATAGAACTGCTGCATCTTTGATCAGTAAGACCTGAAACCCTTCCTTTTTCCTCTAGCAGACTAGCAACATGATTTTTGATTATGATCCTGACCTGGTACAATTGCATTTCCCCCCTCTGGTGGTTTATCCCACACCTCTCTTACACATTGTCATGCAGAGCTGACAGCATCAGCAAGTTCCATGCAGTATTTCAGCAATGCATCTTAGATGTACATCTGCCTATCTTAAATCAATGGAACCAGGTAGAGGCAATGCGTGCCCTGTGATGATCTCATATGGACCTATTTTACCAGTGGGTGAGGCCCTGACACTTCACAAAACAGCAGGTAATGCATCTACCCATGGAACACCACTTTGGTGTAGTTTGACCAACCATATGGTTTGATTCTGTCATTTCATCGGATCTGATGCTTGTGGTCTATATGAGCAATGAACTTTCCATTTGACCTGTAGCATTTTCATTAACTCTTGAAACACTTTCCCTCTGAAATGTATTCCTTGATCAGAATCTATGCTGTTTTGAAGGAATGGAATCTTGGACAAGCACCTTGGCTGTATGTAGAGCTGACCCATGTTTTAGTGGGATATGCTTCAATCCACCAAGAAAATTTGTCTACCACAATCAACACATCTAGTTTACCCTGACAAGGTGGAAGCGTGATGTAATCAACCTGCAGATGTTTAAATGGTCCAGATGGAGTCAGTATGTGAGCTGTTGACACACCAGTTGCTGTGTTGTTATACTGACACACTGCACATCACCGTAGTACTTCTTCTGCATGTGCACAGAATTTTGGGTGGAAACGGTGGACCATACTGTCAGCACCCATATGACTCAAACTGAATTTGCTGAGCTAAATAGGTGGGAGTAACACCTCAGGTGCCACACACTTAGCTCCTTTTGTCCAGTACCCTTTAGAATCTAGTGTTGCCTCCTTGTCAATCTAAGACCACACTTTTATTGCCATGTGGGGCATTTTGATCTCCAGTTGTGGTTGCAGCAATAGAGATTGTTTAAAATGTTGCCGCTGCCTTGGCTGCAGCATCAGCCATAAAATTGATCTTGGTTTATATAGAGTTAGAGGAACCATGAGCTTTAACTTTAACCACTATAAGTTTTTCTCAAAGCTTACTGGCTGACACGAGATCAGAAGCCAAAGAAGCATGCCTAATGCTAAAACCCTTGGCGAAGCCAGATGTGTCCAAAACTGTGCAAAATTCCAAAAGAATACATTGAGTCTGTGTATATTGTTGCACTAAGACCAGATGCCAAAACATATGCCTTTGTAAGGGCTGCTGCTTTAGTGGCTTGAGCTGAGAAATTGTCAGGAAGATGGCCCTGAGCCACAACTGCAGGAGGCGAACAAACAGCCCATCCTGCTCATCTGTATCCATTCAAAACCTGAGCAGAACAATCACAAAACAAGACCATATCAGGATTTTCTAAAAGAACCTCAGAAATAGTTGAAGGAGGTGTGTGTGTGTGTCAACAACACGTAATCATGATCTTCACTTTCAGCCTCATCACAACCACCAGACATGCTGTCATCATGAAAGATGAGAGATTGGTGATCTGTGCCCTTTGGAGGCAAATATTAGGAGCTGTGAGAGTGCCCACCAAGTTACCCCATCTCTGGGCAGTAACTGTAGTTACATGAGCAGAAGATAGCAAAGGCACAACAGCATGTGGGCAACACACTGTGAAAGGTTGTGACATCACTACAGGGGCACAAGCAGATTTCACTAGATATGTAGCTTGTACAGCATGCAAACATGGAACCAAAACTAGTGGATTTAACATTTAACTTAGATGAATAATAATACACAGCACATAACTGACCACCAAGGTTCTGCATCAAACAAGCAGTCATGAATCCTTCATGTTCATATATGTACAATGTAAATGGTTGCCCAAGCTGTACAAAGCCTAGCGCTGATGCAGAAGTTAAAGCAGATTTCAACTCCATAAAAACCCTTTCAGCAGCATCTGTAAACTGAACCCTGTCTGTGTCTCTGAAAGATCCCTTTAGCAAACCATACAATGGCTGGGCTATTTGGGCATAGTTTTCTATCCATGGTTGATAGTAATCACACAGCTCCATGAAAAATTGTAATCCCCTGACTGTAGAAGGTTTAGAAACTGAGCATATAGCTGCAGCTCGATCAGGGAGAACAGACCTCTGTCCTGCTGTTACCAATTGACCTAAATACTGGACTGAAGGTAAAGCTAACTGTGTTGTCCATGTTAGCTTTATGCCCATGCAAACTCAAATGTGTCAACAAATCTAACAATTCAGTGGTGTGCACCTCCATATTAGGCAAAGCCAGCATAACATCATCCAAATACTGCACTAAGGTAGACTCCCTGACTGGACGCTCTGCGTAAGCCAAATGTTCTCTTAATGCCTGGTGGTACAAAGTTGGACTGTTATGCAAACCCTGCAGAAGAAACTGAATTGCTAACCAAGGCTGGTTATCTGGATGTAAAGGAACAGACCAAAACCCATGCCATGTCAATAACTGAAAATACTGAATGTGTATTTGGGACCCCATCAAAGATACTACTAGGACCAGCTACCAAAGGAGTAATGCAATCAATATATATATTAGCAATGCGATAGTCAACTGTAAGGTGCCATGCCCCTGATGCCAAGAACAGACAATTTAGGTTTCTCAGTCTCAAAATCCAATTACATACTTAAAAATAGCATCCATACCTAGTATTGTTGTCTTAATAGAAGCTACAACTAAAGGCAAAGAAATTTATTAAGGACCAAATCTCAAACAAACAGGTTCTGTTTGATAGGTGTTATAACATTCTCCAGTGACTCCAGTAATGACAATTGCAGTGCTACTGAAAGGTAAACCAAAACTTTAGCCATAGATGTAGGCATTAATGTGGGCTGTGCTCCAGGATCAACCAAAAATCGCATTCTCTATCATTCACAGTGGTTTTCACATACAATCTGTTATCCTGCTCATGGCTGTAAAAAATATCTCACAGTGGAGATATTCAGTTTAAAGGCTTCAACTCCTGTGTGTGACAGGCAGACTACTGAGTAACTTGCTGAACAAGCTTAAGCAACTGTCCTGCCACTTCAGGTGATAAAGGTTTACCCCTTGAACTGTCCTGACACTCACTTGACTTCTCTTTACACTTGGAACCATAACGCTTCCGTTTGCAGTATTGTCCCTTTTTCCCCACAATAATGACATGTATTATCTTTTCTACTTGGAGTCTTCCTGGATTGCTGGGAGACATTTTGCAAAACAGCAAAGATATGCAGTTTCACCCTTGAATCCCTTTCATATGCTGCTAGACTCTCAGTCAACTCCCCTACAGTAGTTGTCCACCAGGATGACTTCAACAAAGGTAAAACCTTCCTCATAGGAGCCCATCAGCCCACTGTGCAGCAGGAATCTCAGAATTAACTACCTCTTGAACGGAATTACACTCATCATTCCCACCATGTAACATAAATGTTTCTGCAAAGCGCTGCGTGTACTGTTTCACTGGTTCTACTACCTTTTGCCAACAAGCAGAAGAACCCCTGATGGTTTTCAAAATCGCTGACAGCCCTGCATTACATTCCTTGACTGCCTTTAAAGATTGGAGCTTGTCTGCCCGTCTCTCATCCCCGTCAGTATCCGAGAACACACAGCCAAGATATCTAATGGATGTAAAGAGTACAGCTTTGTCTTACATGCCATTAACATCAGAAAAGGACCCAGAAACCATCACTTTCGGATGGCTGAGTTCATTGGTGATGTGATCAATTTGTTCAGGAGACAGAGGCTTGTGTTTAACTGTTACTTTCTTCCGGCCATCTTTTAACTTTACATGTTTTATCATCACAGGAGCAGCTTCCAGTACAGAGAGATCAAATGTGTTGTCCTCACTGTCACTGGAAGACATTGTGAATTGCCCTGTTTCAAGTTTCAAGTTTATTTGTCATTTGCACAACATGTCAGGACTTGACAGGACAGCAGAGCAACATCATATACATACTAAAAACAGTGCAGACAAAAAAGTAAAAATGCAAAGGAAAATAAATGCAGGAAGAAGAGATGCTGATGGGTAGATCTCACAGTTTTGTTGGTGTGGAGGGACCAGATGAGGTCATCAGTGAGGTGTACACTGAAGAACTTCATACTGCTGACTCTCTCCAATTTGGCTCCGTTGATGTATAGGGGAGAGTGACCACCCCTTTGCAGCTTCCACAATCATCTCCTTTGTTGACAGAGCGCTATCCTCATCTCTGTAAGCTGTTTCTTCTCCATCTGTGAAGAGGCTAGAGGCTTATACATATATATATATATATATATATATATTCATTTAATCTGTATTTCAGCATTTATTTTTCAATAATGGACATCATAATGTCATAATAAGTTTATTTTCTGGGACTCCTAGAATTTTGATTTTGAGATATTCAATGGCTCCAAGAGGTTTATTAGGAGCTCTTAGACCTCCCAGGATCTCCTGTATTTCACACCTTTCCCATGCACGCACCCAAAATACGTCTGTCCTTTTCAAACACTTTTACATAGATAAAAACATATTCTCACATTCATATGTCGTATGTGCTCTTGTAGGGTATATCTGGTGTAAGGACTCAACGGGACTCAGGTGGAGGACTGAACAGGACTCAGGTGGAGATTCTGGGTAATATGGCCTGCACACTGGACCCCACCTACATCCAGAACTCTGACCCACTCATCCTGGAGAAACTGAAGAACTGTGGAGATCTTTCTGACTCTCAGGTCACCGCCATACAGACACTGCTCTTCTCCGGCAATACTTCTTACGGGTAAAAAAGACATTATGTGCTTACGGTGTACAGCTGTAGAACAAGCTTCAAAATGTTTAGTGTGTAATTTTATGAAGGTTTGAAACCCTAATTATGATTAAATCATTGTGCTAAGTTTTCTAATAAGCATTATAACTAATGTAAAAATAAATTAATTCATACAGCAGCAAAGATATCAAAGCCTGCAGTAGTGTAGTAGGTTCCTTTGCTCAGTGTGTCCAAGGAGCACTTACTTCAATAGGAAGAAAACATGACTGATATGCAGAATAGCTTACCATTTTTTGCATGATATGTGGGGGTAGGTGACAAATACAGACCCACATAAAGCAAATTGCTACACAATGGCTCTGCCAAAGCTGTTAACACTAGCCCATCATTAGGGACAAAATATTTACAGTAAATTTATTAAATCTATGGGGACAACTCATCACTCTAGAAGTCCATTTTATAATTAAAATATAATAATAGACAGAATTCCATTTTATATTTTTATAATACATATTAGCATACTACAACACAAACAGGTGCATGCATGTATTTTTTTAACACTGATAACAAATCATTCACCTAAAGAAAGTGTTGGGCTATTGTGTGTTTAACTGGGGTGACTTTTTTGGGGTAGGAGGGGATCAGAATTCAAAGATCAGTCCTTTATTACAACTGGACTTGATTAGTCAGTGCAGAGGTATGTAAAATGTCCAGAGTACTAATAGCTGTTAGGAGCTGTTTTGTCTTTCTTCATTGTATAGTTGCCTACTAAACTAGTAAGTGTATATATAATATAGAGTTTCATACACATTATGTTTGTCTTCAGTAATTCCTCAACATGGAATCAGCAGACTCTGGTCCAGCTGGGCATCCTGCCCCTCTACTTCAATCAAGACTTCTGGGGCATATTTAGCTCTGTACGTAAAGCTGTTCAATGTATTATTTTTGTCTGTTTTGTTGTTTGTTTTTAGTTTTGGTACCCTTATTATCTTGTGTTTATCTGTTTTTTTATCTGTGTTTATCCGATGGTTGGGTGTGTTATGTAAACTCTTTTTTATGTGTCTCTTGAAGACGACAATAAAGACCTTCCTGAAGACGTTCTTTCCATCCCTGAGGAAGCAGAATATCCAGAATTGGAAACTCAGGAGATTGTTTACAGCAGCAAACAGTTTTACAAGCAAAAGCATTAATACCAAAGCCAGAGCACTCACAAGAGCAGGTACAACCACACTACACATTGCGTTAACACACAGTAGTTGTAATATCTGATTGTGTCCTTTTCCCCTAATAATAATAATAATAATAATAATGATAATAATGATAATAATAATAATAATAATAATGATAATTGTAAAACATTTTCAATTCAGTTAAGAAAACACAATGTACTTCCCATAATAAAATAATAAACACAATGGAAAGATGCTCTAAGACTGGGCCATGTTAATCAGCAAAATGACAGATTTCCCTTGCAGAATCAATGACATTTTCAGTGTTATACATATATATATATATATATATATATATATAAGATATAAAATATATATATATATATATATATATATATATATATATATATATATATATATATATATATATATATATAAGACCCAATACACTATGCATATACTAGCCTAAAAAAACATCTCAATGGGCATTTAAATACACCTTTGTAAGTTTGCGCTTCATAATTCCTGGAATGCTGTTCTAGAGTCCAGAGCTCCATAAGAAAATGATAATCCACTAACTAAGCTGTAAGAGATGCTGAGTGTGCAGTGAGTAGCCCCAGCTGAGTGAAAAGGTCTGGACGGCTGTCACACTTCAAAACATCAGCCAGATCTGCCACAGCTCAGCCATTAAGCCAGTGTAAACTGAATGAAAGCGGAATAAAACACTCAAACTCGTTTCCTGGTGAGCACTCGGGTTGCTGCGTTTCAAACTAGTTAGAGCCAATTTAAGATGTTTGCACACTGGTCCTGAATACTTGTGTCTGCACTCAGGATTCATTCTGGTCTCGACTGGGGGAGGGGCTTGTTGTCGCTAGTTTGCTTTCACACACAAGGATTCCATCCGAACTGTAGATTGATCTTGCTATTGCATTTGTCATTTTTCTGCATGCAGGTTTGCAGAATGGTCAGCACTAGCTTCACCTGTTTGTATCTGAGAAAAATAATGAAAACAGCAAACACACAAGCGGCAAAGAACAGCGCTTTTTCGCCACACCAATCCTCTCCCTGCTATCACAGAACTTGAAAAGTGAAGTGACTCTAAGTCGGAGCAGTCACGTTACAAAATGAAATAATCACACAGCCCCACACGCGGCACTGGGAGCAGGCAGCTTCCACACGTGCATTGGGCCACACCAGTGTTGGCTAGACGTGAAACCCAGAGCACTGATTTCAGGAAGACCAGAGATCAGTTGTCTGGAACGCTCCTGGACTGGAAAACAGCTTTCACATGTACCAAACTCCCAGGGCAAGTGGTCCTAGTCCTGGAAACAGACTCTAGTGTGAAAATGCCCTTAGAAAGACAGCAGAGCAAGCAGCCAGTAACACCTTACATCAGGCTAATCTAGCCATTGTGAAAGCGTGAACTAATTATCACAGCATCCTGAAGGTTTAGCACATGAAAAAGTGTAGTTTTGGAGATAGAACATATCTATTTTACTGAAGGTATCTTCACATTATCACAGCAAAAAGGTTCTGTGCCCATTCCATCCATTCATTTATAATGGGGTTTTGCTGCCCTGCTTGGAGTGGTTTGGAGCTACAAGGTTCAAATTTGCAATATTTGTGTTTTGTCACAATTTAACAGGAGAAAGTTCCTGGTCATCCAGGCTTATATGTGTTTAACGCAGTCTTCCTTTATGTGTAAATGTTTCATTGAATTAGAGTATTGTATATGGTGGTTATGGTGTTCATGAGTTATATGTCCTAAGAGCGTGTAATGCTTTGGAGTCTGTCCAGCTTCGGGCCTTAACTTCAACCAGGATAGTGGAGGGCTTCAGTGATGAGACCCAGGCTGATGAAACAAGAAGTACATTGAGCAACTACAAACCAGCAACCTGCACTCACATTTGCAGTATTCCGATCAGTCGGTTTATTATACTAGCTGACCACACAAACCAGATCTCATGGCTTTGCTTGTCCATTCATACATGAATCAAGAACCAGTTGCAAAGCCCCGTAATGGCATTACTCAGAAAAAAAATAATTCAAATAAAAAAGAGCACACTCCTGTGATCTGTAACGTTATAGCACAACTTTTTATTTCATCCTACTGCGCGGCAGAGCTACACACCTGCGCACATTACCTGGGTACATCTTAAAGAGAGAGTACACGTTTTCCTGGCTGTTAGAAGCAGAAAGGTGGAAAGGAAGAACAGCAAGGGACCTAAAGCATATCCTTGTGGGACACCATATACCCTTTAAGTGTCCATATTGTGACCATAAACTCCTGGTTTCTTGGTTAAATTTCTATTTTCTCTCTGTGTCTGACAGCATGCACAACAGGCAACATCACAGAAGCAACAATTAAAGATACTTCATTCCCTCTCGGCTATGACTCCACCCAGTTTGATGCATGTTTGGACAACGGATTCCTGAAAGAGAACATAGCAGCCATCACTGAAAAAGTGATAGAAACCAGCTTCCTGACAGTCGTTCTTAACAAATTAAACCAGGTCAGCATTACTGAAGACCTTCTGTATTGGATAATGAGCTTTTTTGTGTGTGACCTTACTGACAGTGTATGTTGGTTTGTATGCATGTCTACTCTGATGTTGCATCCATGTGTTCGTCTTACAGTATATTTGTTTCACAGTGTTATGCATTTTTGTTTGTTTGTTTTTTGATGGTCTGTGTGTGTGTGTTGTTGCAGTTGTTCCCATCAGGCCTTCCAGACAGTGTGGTGCAGATTCTGAACGCCGTGTCTCGTGTGGCCACTGTTAGTGACATCACCAAGTGGAACATCACCACAATTGATGCACTGTCCTCTCTGATGAATTCAATTAACGGAAACTGGACCTCAGATCAGGTAGCATGTCTACGAGTTCCTGTTTGTGGGATGTACTGGATTTTTAATGATGGCTAGAACCTTACTACAGGAACCAGCTGATGGTCACTGCTGGCTATGAACTCACAGGCATTGACTAGGTGGAGCTTGTAGCATGAAAAAAACAGTCCCATCAACCCATCAACATGCAGACATAGGTGGCAAGGGATCTCAAGGGTGCTAGGCACCCAGCCAAGTTGTATTATTGGTCATACTCGGTTTTTAAAATGAGTTCATTTGTTTATCTACAGCAGCTCAATGTAGAATAAAAGCATAATGCAGCTGAATGCATCTTAAATCTGCAAACAAGCACACTCCACTCTGATTGGTTACATCTTGCTGAAGGAGTATTGGTGAAAGAGACTTCGGTAACACTTTCTATGAATGTCAACTTTGTAAGCATCTATAAACACATTTATAACATGTTATAATGTATTCATAAGGCATTATAAACATGGTTATAAATATTTGTAAAAAAGAATTACACTGAATTACACTTTATAGCCATGTTTATTATACATTATGAATTGTTAATATAATGCATTATAAATCGTGTTAATAACATGTTATAATGTCAGTGCCAAAGAAGTCAGTCCCAGCTTGGAGAGCGTAAAGTAAAGACAAATACCAAGCTAACGGTGGTGTACATTACCTTTCCCACATTGGGTAAAACACTGATGCAGCTCTAGTTTAAACTCTGACATTTGAAGCCTGTAATGTGCTTTACTGTGAATGTTTTAGTGTTTCAGTAAATCCTTCAGTAAATACTTCAACTTGAAGCCTCACTCTGAACACTGGAGGAGGCTTTAGTACAGTACGCTTCACTTTACTTAGAGCGGACAAATACGACTTATGAGCTCTTATAATTTGTTATGATCAGTACTTATAATGTATTATGTTAACAATTCATAATGCATAATAAACATGGCTATAATGTATAATGCATTTTTATAAATATTTATAACTATGTTTATAATGTCTTATGCATGCATTATAACATGTTATGAATGCGTTTATAGACGCATACAAAGGTGACATCCATAGAAAGTGTTACCGAGACTTCTGAGTCTACATTGATGTGGACCAAAGGACGCAGTAAGACCTAGAGGGCGCTTGTAAGTGTCCCTTTAGACCCCAAAATAAGAAATGCATCCAAGTGTATAATTTGGCACTTGAGATTTTCAGGTCAGGTGTCTGGTTTTGTTGTATGCATTTGTATGGAGATAGAATTATATGTTTGTGTGTTTTTTAGAGTAAAGCAGTGATTATGAAGTATCTGAGCGTGGCTGGTAACACTCTGGGAACAGCTGAGATAAATGCAATCGGCTCCTACCTTTGTTCCTTGGATCCCAGTGTCCTCAAAACTATCACTGCTCAAAGCCTAAGGTAAGTACACTTTCAGATCCAAACAACTCAACACAATGCTGGCCAAAGTGCTGTAATACAGTGAAAGAAGTCAGAAGAAGTAGGAGAATGTTCTAGACTTGTTGTCATGCTCTTTGGAGATCTGCACCTTATATTAGACTTTATGTATTACATTTACCTCCTTCTGCCCTACCCCAGTTTCTTACTGAAGACAGAATTTAAATGCTGATATGGTGTGATATGTACTGATGTCTGATGTTTTTCATGTACATATCTGCTGAAGCCAAACATAAAAAATTATAAAATGTATAAATTGTGAATACATCTACCAAAATCAGCACAGCAGAGAAACAATGCTTTTATTGTAGTTATAAATGCAGTGATATGAAAAAAAAAAGTTTGAAATAACAGGCAATAAACATCTGCCTAATGCTGGTCAATGTTTTTAAAGGAATATCTGGCAATACTGATTTAATTCCGATATCACCATGCATCCCTAATATCCCTAATAGTAGAGCCTGGTAAAAGGTCTATGGCGCAGTCCCAAGGGTGGTTAGGGGGTTACTGGCTTGCTTTATTTTTAGAAAAAACTTCACCTAAGTCAGAATAACAGGAGAACATAGTCTTACAACAAGAATAACCTGGACTTTCTAGGCTGGTGGAGTATACTATACACACATGCTAATAAAGTTTTGAAAACAATTAGGTCCCCATTTAAAGATGTTTGTCTCCCTGTGAAATAAAGGGCAACCATGGAAAACCCAGTATGAGGGGGTTCTTGGGTGATTTTATCACAAAAAAGGATATCTTTTCTTCATGAAAGAGTCCCACTTTAATTTTCAGCTCTACTGTTGATTTCTTGACAGTCCCTTCCTCCAAGGGTCGGTTATCAACAGCCTTCAGCATCAGTGGGGTTTGAACACTAGTGAAAGTGATGTTCCATTTCTCTGCAGGTCTTCTATCCTTGAAATTCTCTGCAGCTCCTTAATCTATAAGTGCTAAACCAACAGACAATTCAACATGTATAGTTATGCATGTGTTAACTAGAGGATGCATCAAGGAATGACAGCATCAGGACATTTAGGATAGGTTGCGCGCATATGCCTATTTAGTGTAAGAGCTTCTCCACAACCTGCCATTGCAGCTTGAGTGAGTTCTACATTCCAAAGCATAATCTGCTGCAGGACATGTACCTTGCTGAAACTTACATAATAAATTGCCTACATCCTTACCAGCACAGGGATGATCAAATATAGCCTTATAATAGTCTGACAAATTGAGTTTCTGACTTCAATGTCTCTCTATTCCAAAAAAGCCATGGCCCATTGTTTGGTTTCCCAGTGAGTAATGAGATCACAAAATGAATCTTATCTGTATCTGAACCAAATTATTCAGAATGATGTTCTATGAACAAACCACACTGCATGAGAAAAGCTCTGCAGTTTTCTGATGAGCCATAATACCTTTCTGTGAGGGCAATAGTCACAATTGACCAAGGATTAAAAGAGGTGAGCATGAGAACTCAGCTTGAGGGGAGGGAATTCCCAAACTAACAGATGTAACATGGTGTAGAACCTCTCGCACCTTACGACTAAGGTTCTTCATCTTTTGTTCCTGTTGGGACATTCATGACAAGGGTCCACTCAAACTCGTTGCATAAACACAAACGAATAATTAAAATCCAAAATACATAGCAAAAGATCATGACCAGGAAAGCCAAACCAGAAATAAGAGTGCTCAGAATTGTGATGCACAACAAGAACAAGACGTTGCAAAGAACAAGACCTAGATAATGTGCATATATACAAAATGGCCACTGCAAAAAGTCAGGTGACAATTACTCTGGAATTTGAGAAATAGTGACCTCTCTAGGTGCAGATTTTCACATGCCTGGTGTAAAGCTTTTGTAAGAATTGACAGTCCACTTAAATCTAGGGGAAGTAGTGAATTTGAGGGAATAACATTCATACCCATTGAAATAAGTTAAAAATTCAACTTACATAACGCCTTTCACAAACCCAAAGATGCTTGTGCTGGGAGAGGTGAATGGATGGATTGAATGGATTTGCTGTTTGGTTTTATTGGTCTACAGATTTTAGTGCTTTCTCATCTGTAGCTGCATGTCTAACAGCCACTAACAAACAATGTAGATTCACTCAGTCTTGTATGTTTAAAATGTATTTATGTTTCTTTTTTCTGCAGGACAGCAAACCGCATGATTTTATCCTCATGTTCCATCGATCAGCAATCAGCTCTGTACAGCATCGCAAAGTCCTCATTCAGCGCCCAACGCAGTGACCCAACAGCATATTACCAACTCATCAGCACTTACCTGGGTAACCTCCATACACACGCTATGAACAAGTTCTCATTTCACAGTAAAACATCCTAGTTTTTAATCTCTGCAAAACATTGTGAAGTAAAAAAACAGATTTTCCATAATATAAAGACAGAATATCACACCCAGGCTCAGCCCAAAAAGGCAATGTGTGGGGACTGTGTGGGCCAACCACTGGCAAGGTCCAGCATGGGGGACCAGTGCAGTGCCATATAGGTGGTGGGAGATGGCAGGGAGGCCCTTGGCAGCATAGGAGGACCTGGAAGGTGGAAACTGGCTCTTGGAACGTGGAATGTAACCTCGTTGGGAGGGAAGGAGCCCGAGCTTGTGTGGGAGGTTAAGAGGTACCAACTAGATATAGTTGTTTGAACACAAGGATGTTAATAAGTGTACATGGTACCAGAGCTCTTTTGTTGTCATTTCATCTTGGGACCATATGTTCTAGACACTTGGAACCCAGAAACAGTACCTTTGGACTGACAGACCAGGGTCGAGGTCCCTATTTTTAAGAAAGGTGACCGGAGGGTGTGTGCCCACTACCGGGGTATCACACTGCTCAGCCTCCCTGGGAAAGCTTATGCCAAGGTGCTGGAAAGGAGACTCTGACTGACAGTCAAACCTCAGATTGAGGAGGAACAATTGTTGAGGGGCATGCGAGTTTGCAGACACAGTCTACGTGTTTCATGGACTTGGAGAAGGCTTACAACTGTGTTCCCCAAGATACCTTGTGGGAGGTCCTCCAGGAGTATTTGGTGCCAGGGCTACTACTCAAGGCCATTCATTCTGTGTACCCCTGGAGTGAGAGTTGTGTTTGTATACTCGGCATTAAGTCAAGCTTCTTCAAAGTTAGTGTTGGACTCCGCCAAGGTTGTGCCTTGTCTCCACTCCTTCTTTGTGATATTCATGGACAAGTTTCAAGGCATAGCCGAGGTCAGGAGGGCATTATGTATGGAGGCTGGAGGGTGGCGTCTCTGCTTTTTTCAGAAGATATTGCCCTTTTGGCGGGAACACATGGATGCCTCCAGTGCTTACTGGAGTGGTTTGCAGCTAAGTGTGAAGTGGTTGGTATGCAGATCAGCACCTCCCAGTCTGAGTCCATGGTCCTAGCCCAGGGTCGTCCTAGGACCGACCGGAGAGATTGTATCTCCAAATTGAACTGGTAGAGGCTTGGACTTCCCTGGAATGATCTGGAGGAAGTTGTGGGGGACAGGGTTGCCAGGGATTCTCTGCTCTCCCAACTGCTACCGCCACCCTTTTGGGACTACGCGGTTGATGATGATGAAGATAATACTTTAAAAACTGTAAAGTTTTCGTATTTACATAGATGTTGAACTTAATAAGTAAATAATTCAACAGCAGCTACTCCTTAAACTTTTTTATGGTAAAATCACTAAAATGTTCTCCCAGGAATGATGCTTAGAGACCTTGTTATAGAGGATTAGTTTCTGAATGTATCACCTTTTTCACCACTCATGAGTTTTCATGTCTGAGAATTTGTACTGTTCATATTTTACGTTACTCAGTCTTGCCAAATGAATACATTATTTTATGTATGTGTTTAGGTGGAGCTCCTGTAGAGGATATAATTGCTCTTTCTGCTCTCAACATCAGCATGGATATCACCACCTTCTTGAATCTGAACCCAGATGTGATCAAGGTATGAAACAGTCACCTAGTTGACTAGAACAAAGTGGCTCTACTAGGCCCAGCATTTTTAATGCCAGTGATGCTGTTACCCAATGCAGGATATAGCTGTTCTTTCCAACAAGAGAATGTACTAAAGCTCACTTGGACAGATAATGTTGTGCTTTTTCTGAAGAAGAGGTGTTAGACTTCATCTGCTCAGTTTCCTGGAGCTTCACTAAATGTTCAGAAGTACATGGATATTCACATCAGGTATTACTCAAATTTAGGCCCAATCCCATTTCTTATTTGTACCCATACTCCTTATTTTTGAGTGTCATCTTGCCCCTTGGACCTGAGTTACAAGGGGTAGTGGTTGAAATCTTCCCTACGAAATGGGACCCTCAGATAAAAAGAACATTATTATAATAACAGGCTACAAGCAGTGCTCTGTAGGCGACCCTGCCAGTCTGCAGTGACAGCAGAGGAGGGTAAAGTTCAGCTCCTCACTGCTGGGCTTTAGTAACATTTAGGGCATCATATGCCTTCAAAGGGAGGGGGGCAATTATTTATTATCACCCACCCCTAATTCCTCAGTGATATGAAGCTGAAGTCAGATATTCACCAGCTTCCCTTACAAATTTCCCATTTCACCATAAAGGGTGCAGCAGTAACATTCGGTTGCTTCAGGTGTCAGTACTGCTGAACTATGCTAGAAATTTAGCTAGCTAGTTACAGAGACATTATCATACTACTACTTTTATGCTTGTTATGAAGAAAATGACTATAATACATTGACATGACATTAAACTAAGATAATACAATGGTTGTCTTAATGTTTAATGGAGAAAATTCTCACATTTGTGTTTCTTTGGTCGCTTGTGCAGCCATCTCGCTGGTTCCCTTTTTTTCTCATAACACTCTGTTTGGTGTGTGCCTCTGAAAACCCTCTGCTTGGAGGGCCATGTAGCCCTAACACTTTGCCCTACCCCTCTATCTCAAGAAGAAATGGGACACCCTACCCCCAGACAGGAATGCGCAAAACTGAGGCGTAGGGCTAAGTGGTAGGGGAGTGGTACCATACAAATATGGTACAAGAATGTACTATAAGCAGTTTAGTTTTAAAGAGAAGAAATGTTCATGTTGGTCTGTTTTAGGTTCATCCATAAAAAGACTTTTATGGTGAAGAGCCTGAAAGTGGGTGGGGCGGTGGGTTTTCCGAAGTAGAGCAAAGGGCTGTGTTTTTACTGTTAGCACTGGAAAGGCTTGTTTTTTAGGCCATGATTGGTGTTGTTTTAGCAAATGAATGAATAATGAAGCTGCATTATGGGCCGAAACCTTGAGTCATATAAGTTTGTCCAGTGTTAAAGAACTGGGCCTGGGGCTGTATTACAGAAACATCTTAAATCTGAAATCTAGTCTGTTTAGTTTCCATGACGACTTCAGTACAGACTGAATTTAGGACATTACAGTTTCTAACTTAATAATTTCATCATGAACTCCAGATAAGAAAACAGCATCACACAAACATCCTAACTAGACTAAACCTCCTAAATCCTGTCCTAACTTTAGGATGAGCCCCAACAGGGTCCTCACTTCTGTTTAAGGTCCGTTTCTATGGTTTTTAGGCAGCTGTGTCAGCAGCATAGTTCACTACCAGCATAATGAGCTCCATTTATTCCTACTGTAAAACGCTGCTTTCACTGTGAGATGATTTTCTTTTCTAACTCTGCGTTTTAAAGATCTCAGACGCTGCAGACTCGATCTCCACCGCCCCTCTGATCACCTTCGTGTGTTAATGTTGATGATGAAATATTACAGTGATGGTGGTGAATAATGAGGAGACGGAGCTGAACGTGTGTCTGTTTATTAGGAGGAGTAACGTTAGCGCGCTCGGCTAAAGCGTTTGGGAAATGGAGACTGAAACTGGGGAGCGGCGACGCTCTGATAAACAGCAGGAGGCGCTCTCACAGTATTCACTACTTACAGTTTATCACACTTTAGTTCTGTTTGACCTTTTTTATATAAGTAATGGCAGCTGTAACGTACATTTTTCATGTTATTTTGATGACATTTACATTTCAGCTGAGCACGTGTTGTTGGTTGCTAGCTAACAGACAGACTATTGATTATCAGCTAAATTAAGATCAGATTTGCTTCTGTAATGCAAATTTATGAGAATTTTTCTTGGCCTGTCAGATCTTAACTGAAAACTAAAGAGAGGAAGTTTCTGTAATAGTTTTTAACTGTTGGAGAAAAATTTGTAAAACTTTTACAACTTTTTTAGATTTTTTTTTCTGTACTGAATGATAAAATCTGAGGTAAAACTCTAACTCTGATTGTTTATGTTTGTGTTTCAGGCCCTGAATGTGAACACAGTGATCAGCCTGATGGGATTGAACGTGGCTGACCTGAAGCTGTTTGAGAACACCACAACGGTCAGGATGTGGGCGGCTGAGCAGTACAATTCTGAGTTGGTGGTACTCGGACTTTCAGGAGGCAAAGCGGACCCCGTCAGCTCAACAGCTGCACCGGCCACTACAGTCACAACACTACTAACTAACACCATCATCACACAGACCAACCAGACCGTCAACGCCACGACGGGTAAGACCCTGTTCATCAAAACCAGTCATTCATGGAAGAACCACACAGCACTGAGCTACAGAGAGGGGGAAACAGGAATTCAGACAGTTTGATACTTTTGTGCACATATCCACTTTACATTTACACACAGAATGTCTTTTACTTTGTAATTGTAAAGATAGACAAAAAGCGGTTCTTTAGTAAAGATAATGGTTCTGTGTAAACTGTGAACACTTAAAGAACCATTTGCTTGTTTAAATGGATCTTTGCATAGTGAAATGTTTCCTTAGATTGACAGAAAATGTGTTATATTTGATTCTATGTAGCACCAAAAAGGGTTCTTTTATTGTTACAAGCTCAACATGATCACAATAGAAGAACCCTTTTCGTGCTATATATGTTGTTGGTGCTATATTTGTTGTGTTAACAGTTCTATATCTTTATCTTTTATTATCTTTGCTTAAGAAACAATGAAAAAACATCTTTTTCCATCATTTTATTAGATCATCATTGAGCTTCACTTTTTATACTAAAACATGAACGTCATGAAATCATTTAGAAGTATGTTTTGAGCTAAAATGTCTTTAAGATTATGAGAAAACACTGTTATATGCAGCTGTTGTGTTGTTTTTAATATACTTAAATACCTATTAATATTATGCATTAATTGCATAGTGTATAATATATTTCACATAAGTTTACAGACCAAAAAACAAAGATTCTTGTTTTAACTCACTGTTCAAAATTCAGTTAATCCAGAAATGACTTTTTAAAGTTAAAACATTTTTTTTTACAGTTAACAGAAGTGAAATACTTATTCAGCACTTTGAGTCCTGTAACTGATATTAGTGTGTGTGTGTGTGTGTGTTTGTGTGTGTGTTTGTGTGTGTGTTTGTGTGTGTTTCAGGTTTAGGTGTTGTACATCGTGGTTCAGGACTGTGGCTCATCTCTCTGTGTGCAGGACTTCTGACCATCACACTGCACACATTATGATAACCATCTACCCATCTAACCCTCTTACATAGCACACTTCTAATGCACTGCACTCTAATTTAAATTGATATACAGTTTCACTTTAAAAAATAGTTCTCAATATTTGCTTAACCTCTTTATAATTATGCAGATAAAATCACTCCAGTAATATTTATCTATTTTCTGTAGATATTTATGATGTTCCTAACTGTTTAAGTGTATTAGATTACTTTATTTTGATTTAAACTGGAATGGGACTAAGATCAATTTTGAAATTCTTAATCTAATTTGATCATGCTTAATTATGAATTCATCTTGATTACCTCAGTATTAACTTCCTCATTCATGCTCAATAAAATTAACATGCAACTACTGAATTATGTTTATTGTTTTGTTTGTTAGTGGTAAAATTTAGTTCATACAAGTAAATATTTCTCCCTTTATCACAATGAAATGGGAAAGAATGAAGAATTAATCCAAATTAAAAGTATGCAAAGGTATGCAGTAATAATAAAGTAAAAATATCTACATTAAACTAACATTTTTACACATTCATTTTAATTCTTTACTAGTATTAGCATTGTAGATGGTTCAAACTGAATTTGTGAGATCAAGAAACTGCACTATAAAATAAAAATTGGGGTTTTAACCTGAAAATTAGTTACCAGGCTGTCATGAGATTTCTAAGTTTCAAGGTAGCCTGGTATTTAATTTTTAAGTCAATTTTTTTTGTAGTAGATTAAAAACCATAACTTTTAAATGAATAAATTCTAAAATAAATTTAATCCAACAAGAACATTGTTTGATCCTGGATAACTGTAGAATATACACTGTCTGAAATTATAAATGAGATGGATACACTCAAAGTATGAATACAATGTGTATATATCACACAATCTGTACTGTTGCCCAAACTTGAGCTTTCAAGTTTACTTATTTCATTATTTAATTGTTTACATTTTTTTACAACATGAATGTAATTTTAATGATCACAAACTGAAAAGCAAAATAAAAGTCCTTCAAAAAGATTATTCAGAATTACATAATCTAACAAAAGCTTTGAGGAAAAAATGTGTTGGCAGCCATTTAAAGCAGCACTAAGCACATGTAAGTTTTTTGCTTATAAGTAAGTTTTTTTGGTAAAAAATAAAAGTAGTGCCATTACTGAGTGTGGAGAAAAAAGAACAAACTAAAATATGGTGAGTGGGTGCCACTGTGAGTCAGCTATTAAAGCCTGAAATAATCATTTAAAAATCAGAGGCGTCAGGTCAGTTTTTCACATCACGTCATATGTCTTTATGTATTAACATCACATGCACTACTTAATAAAAAGGTCTAGCTCTATGTTTAGATCTCAAATGATCTCAAAACCAACATTAGACTGATGAAGATTGGATGACAATAGTAGATAGTTTACTCACATCCTCAGAAGACACGTCCTTCACCACGTTTAGATGGAGTTCTCATTGAACTCTCTTTCAATCATCAGATTCATCTGCTTATGTCATCTTTCAAGGTTACAGCTGCTCATGCTAGCTAGCCTCGCAGTATCGGCTAAAGAGCTAACTAGGTGAGTTTTGCAGCTGTTTAAACGAGTGTTTATTAGTTCTGCTTCTGGTTTTAACTATTCCTTAACCTAAAACACCTGACGCAGCTCATCAACTGATTTTCGAGCCATTTATGGGCTGAATCAGGTGTGTTAGCTCAGGAAATCATTTGGCCTGCGGTGCTGTGGGTCAAAGGAAATAAGGTGGTACAAACGCAGTAAAAAGTGGAAAACACTGCTGCACCTGTGGTAAAAGGCGCTATATAATAAACTTTGACTTGACTTAAATTTCAGCTCAGTAAGGTCTGTGTGTAAGGCATTCTTTGAGCTTTTCTGACGCACTCTAACCCTCCACTGATGTATACTCAGTTGTAGGCCCAGACAGCAAGCATGTTCGGGCCGGATTACCTTGGCCGTCACAAAGCCCTCCTAGCAGTCGCATCTGCATTGCAGACTTGTGCCACATTTGGGCCAAGTAACTGTTAACAGCACTGGACACACTGCCGGTCAGCGGGGAGTAGAGGGGAGGACATCAGTGCTAGCTAACCTAGTTAGTTAGCTGAGGTAGTGAGTCAAAATGTCTAATTCCAACCTAAATGAACATCAGAGATTTCTCTTTAATTATGCTTAATAACGGCACACTCTTAATCTTACATCACCCCCCTCGCCCGGCTGTGTAACCAGCTGGGCTGTACTGTGAGAGGCAGCTGTTAGCTTCACTGGAAAATGTGAAAATGTTCTAAGAGCAGATTTAATATCCATTATCTCCTGGCTCTCCCCGCCAGGGCCAGCCAGCCTCCTACACCTCTCCCCGCCAAGGCCAGCCTCCTACACCTCTCTGCCAAGGCCTGCCTCCTACACTTCTCTCCGCCAGGGCCAGCCTCCTACACCTCCCCACCAGGGCCAGCCTCCTACACCTCTCTGCCAGGGCCAGCCTCCTACACCTCTCCGCTAGGGCCAGCCTCCTACACCTCTCCGCCAGGGCCAGCTTCCTACACCTCTCTGCAATGGCTGGTGCTGCAACAACAAAAAAAAAAACAATGTTCTTAACTGTTTTCGTCTATCCAACATATTAATAACTTTATTTAAAACAGGGTTTTAAATGTAGGGTTGGCTGAAGCAGGTACTGGATGGTAACTGTAAATAATGTGCTTCCTCAATGAGAGCTGAAAAAAAGGTTGTAAAGATTGTTACCGTTCAGTTCACCGTTCAGCTGTCGACCGCAGCAGTGATGAACTGTAAGAATTTTAAGTGATTTGAATTCCAGAACAGGGATTAGAGCCCAACCAATATGAAAACTGTGACTGATACCAGTAATGATTGTTAAGAGGCTGGAAATTATGTTAACACTTAACAATATTGGCTGGTATTATTTTATATTGTATTGTTTTATACTCCAATTCATTTCATTTCTTATATCAACTTGAGCTTGGACCTCTTCTGAACTGGGTCTGTGCCACATTTGGACCAGATATGAAGATAATATTCAGACCTGCGCCAATTCAGGGCCAGATGTAATGCTGTTCTTTGCTCACCTGGGCCGGTTTTTAATCTGTTTTGGTTTTAATCCGTAAAACAGATCAGTTCCAGTATTGGGCCGTTGTGCAAAAAGACACCGGGCCAGCTCTGCTTTGCGGATCCGGACCGGATGCAGCGCTACATTTGGCCCTAATCAGGCGAAGTGTACATTTGTTGTCTGGGAGGGTTTAGCATCTTTTTGGACAAACCTTTGTTTTAAGAATAAGAGAAAAAGAAAAAAGGGAGTTAATATATTTATTTCTGAACATTTAGAATGAAATCTATTTTTTTTGCAGGAGTTATTGAGTGCACTGCACTGAAATGGATTTGTAGTATAGAATAAGATCCACATTGTGATGTTCTAACGGCACATTCTAAATTGTTTACAGCAGATAGAACAGTAGACATACAGCACTAACGAAGGCTGAAACTGAAACCTGTTTTTTGTGGGGTTTTTTGTCATTGTGTAGTGATTAATTGAAGGAATTTACTCTCCTCATAGTCAGTTGTTTGAAGGACGAAGTTTTCTTTTATATTGTATTTTTTGTGTTCTGTGCAGGTCTGATGACATTGCAAAAAGTGTTATTTTGGCCACCAAGCCATTATTTAGTATCATGTGTTAACTCTTTTGACTTCAAACAAGTGTTCAAACAACTGAGACAAACTGTAACAAGTTATGCTGACCAGAAAAATTCAACAGGTGTTACGTAAGGTGTTCAGCTGATGTCACATGACTCTCACATGATCATATTATACGCATAGACTACAGAAAAGGATTAAATACAGTATGTCCACATCTATGCAAGCACTGTAAAAGGAAAAATGTGAAGAAAACACAAAATATCTGTTTCTATATTAATATGTTTAAATGCTTGAATATTGCAATTCGTCTCCATGAAAGATGACTTTTTAAAATATTCCTGCTTCTGAATAATTGATTTAATCTGATTACTTTTAAGACCATATGCAACAGAGGAAGTAGACATAAAGATCTTTATTATTCATAGTCTGGTATGTGAAATCTGAATTCATTTTATTTTCCTGGTTAATAAAAAAACTCGATCTGTATAATTTTATTTTATTTGCACAGGAAATCTGATTTCAGATCATATTTATAAATATAATATGGCTCCTGTTACAAATTAGTTATTATACAGGGCTTCTGTTTTGTGGGTTGAAAATCTAGTTTTTAATAAATATGTCTCTATGTTTTCTGCATGACAAGGAAGTTAAGGCTGTGATTATAAACCTGAATGTCAGTTCTAGTCTGGGAATTTAGCTTAAAGGTTGTCATGAGGCAAAACTTGCTCAGCGAGTAGCTGCTTTGCACAAGCAAAGGCAGGTTAAGCGATACTGTTTGAGTGGGGGAGGTTAGTATGAGGTTAGAAACCATTTAAATTGTCATTAAAGTAAAAGTTGTTCACAGTTACTGGATGATGGTCAGACATGGTTATTTATGTTATTACAGAAAATATGTTTTTTAAATTGTGTACGTGGTTAATTAAAGGTAATGCATGAATAAGAAAAATGGCCACAACAGACTGAATGTCAGTAAGCATATGAACGGATAGTGGATACATGTGGATAATTAAGATATGGGCAGTTAATTAACACGTGGACAGTGAAGGTGTGAATTATGGATGTATGGATGGTGAACGTGTAAACAAAGTGTGGATGGTGAATGTGTAAATGTTGAACAAGTGGATGGTGAATGTGTGGATTGTAAACATTAAGGATAAATGTGTGGATGGTGAACACAGATTGTTTATTGTGTGGACGGTGAACATGTGGATGGTGAATGTGTGGATGGTGAATGTGTGGATAGTGAATGCGTGTGCAGTTGAACATGCGGATGATGAACTTATAGAAAGTGAACTTGTGCTTGTTAAACATGTGGATAGTGAATGTTCTGGCAGTGCAGGAGTGCATAGTGAATGGGTGGGCGGTGAATGAGTAGGTGAATGTGTCTGTTACGCGTCAGCGCCTGTGCATGCGTTTGCTTGTTTTCTTTACC